GAATTTTTAGAAAATTTTTTCTTATGTAAACAAATACAAAGTAATGATCGTGCACGTGTTAATGCAACATTCATTCGTTGTTGACTACGTACAAAACCAATTGTACCAATATGGCCAAATTCATCCGGTGCCCGAACACAAGATAGTATAACAATATCACATTCTTGTCCTTGAAATGCATCAACAGTATCAATTTTAATTTGATCAATTAAATTTCCGGGAAATTTTTTCATTAACTGCGATAAAATTGTTTTTTTCTGTTCCTGATAAAAAGTGATGATTCCAATTGAAACAGGTAATTTAGTTATTGTCAATGAATTAGATTTATAGCCAATTTTTTCAATAATTTGTTCAAATAGTTTACAAACAAATTTAACTTCATTAAGATTTAATCTTGAAATTTGTAATGATGATTCATATGAATCTTTAATATCAAATATAAAATATGGATTTATATTGATTAAATGATTATAACCACTACCATTAGCTGTTTGTAATTTTGAATCATAAAAATATTTTGATGGAAATGAACAGATTTCTTTTCGCATACGATATTGTTCCGTAAGTATTGTTATTTTTATTGTTGTTGTGAATAATTGTTGATTGAAATAAGTATCAAAACGTTCGAAAAATGAACGACCATAATATGCATCTTGTGCACGATTCGATATAACTGTTGCCGGTAATTGTAATGGATCACCAATCATAATAACTTTTGTTATAGATTTATAAACTAATGGCATTAAAATTTCCGGTTCAACACATTGTGATGCTTCATCAATAATAAGACAACGAAAAAATTTTGAAGAATATCTAAACATATCCAATGATGAATGTTGACAACTTGTTAATGTTGTTAAAATAATATCAGCTTCTTTCATAATTTTTGAACGTATTTCCATTCGTTTATTTTTATTATTATCCTTTAAACGAGAATTGATTCGTTGATCAAGCTCATATGGGATCATATCTTCATGAATTCTTGATGATTGTCCAATTCGAACTATTTCAAGTGAACGATTATGAAGAAATGTTTCTTTTTCAGCTATTAATCGTCGACCAATTTCATCGATTGCACCATTACTTGGTGCACAAATTAGTATATGAAAATGATCCAAATCGGATAATGATGAATTAGCGATAATATTTTTAATCATACCGATTAATGTATGAGTTTTACCAGTACCAGGTGGACCTTGTACCATAAGAATTTGAAATTTCTCTCGATCCGATTGATTAACAATATTGGATGCAGCAATAATTGCTTCTTTTTCTTTAATATTATATGGTTTTTGGCTATGAAAATTTAATCGTTGTTCATACATTTGATTGGGTAACAATGAACAGGTAAAAAGATTTGAATCTAATTTAACAATTGAATTTAATGATTCATATCGATTCAATTCTAAATAACCAAGTGTTTCAATCAATCGTATTGAAGGTCGTAGATAAAATAATCGTTTAATACGATATTTTTGATTTGAAAAATATGATGATGGTTGTGGCAGTAATTTTTGATAAGAAGATTTAGTCATTATCATTGAGAAAAATAATTTTCCAATATTTTGACTATTGCTTTCATTGTTGGTTATTGTTGTAAAAAAATCTGTAATATAACCAAATTGTGTTTCATCTGTTCGATTACTTTCATTATAAACTGGTTCAATAGTAACCAATGAATTATTAAATTGTAATCTTTTTTCAAATATTTCTTTGGCCATTAAACTACAATCAAATATTATATGAACTAATTGTGAATTCGTAAATATTGTTGTTGTACGTAAATTCATGTCAAGAAATTGTTTATCTGTTGTTGATTGTTTATCGGTTGTTGTTGATTGTTCACCACCGGTGATTGATGATTGTTCATCGGAAACAATTTCTTTTTCAATTTGTGCCATAGTATTGATAATAATCATTGCTACATTAGCTTGTTTATATTGTTCAACTGAATCATAACGTAATTTCATTACCGATTCTAAACAAGGTATCAATTGTATACAAGTTTTTTCAATACAACGAAAACAAAATTCTTCACTTGTTTCATTATTTTGAATCGATTTGTTAATGAAAACTGTCCAATCAATTGAAAGAATTGATAATAAAAAAATATTCATATCATTACCAAATTCTTGTTTTTTTTGATTAAATTTTGATAAAAATGATGCTGCTTTTTCTTTAAGATTTCGTGTTTTTAAAGAAAGAAATTCATTTTTTAAAGATTGTGATATTTGCATTGATTGACAGGTAATTTTAGGCCATTCCAAAGATGCTGATGATATGATGATGCGATCTTTTAAGAAAAAAAAAGAATTTTAAATGAAATTACAAACAAATTACAATCATAATTATCATCATCATCATTTTTTTTTGATTGATAATTACCAGAATCTTCCGAATAATCGGAATTTTCAGAATATTCAGGATTTTCATACAATGGACTTTCATACGATGGTGTTGGATAATTATAATGATCATCATCATAAAAACCTGTTGATCATATTCGATTGAATCATCATTATTAATGATGATTTTGATTTTGTACGAAAAAAACAAAATTACCAAATCAATTCAAATTCAATATAATCCAACTTACGATAATCATCATAAGGATCACTACATGTTATACGAGCGTTATGAGATTGACCGGGTTCGTCGAAAAAAAATCGTTTCTGCAAAAAAAACAACAAAAATTATAAAAAATAGTTAATGTGAAGGATTATTTTATATATACCAAAACTATGCATAATGCAGCAACGCCGGCAACGATTTTCCAAAACATTATGATTGAAAATGTCTTTTGTTTTGTTTAGTTTTGGTTCAATCAATCAATATTTTATTCAACTAAAAAATTGTGAATAAAAAAAAATCATCAAATTCATTAATGAATCAAAAAAAAAAAAATGAATCAAGCATGATGAAATAACATTCGCTAACACTGAATTGAATATCACACCGAATTTTTTTTTAAAGAACACTGTATTTATGAACAGTGTTTGTTTTTTTGCAATATCGAATCATCATCGTTCGAATCAAACAACCACAACAGCTAACAGTCTACTTATTGAAAAGCAAAAAATATATGGACATTATTATCGATCAACATTGTGATGTGATTTTTAATGTTTCAACAAAAAATTTTTGTTTCGACAAGAAAGAAAAAAAAAAATAGCTGAATCGTAAAGTATACATTGAAGATTATAATTTAAAAAAAATAATCAATCTTTAAAAAGCTGAATCAATTTGATAAGAATTGTTTCATTGGTTTTGCGCTATCATCCAAATTGAATTCATTTGAAAATGTCCATAAACTTATTGCCAAACAAAACAAAATATTAGATCCATAAATTCCTATTTCATCCATCACCACACAGTGATACCTTCATTTGGTGTGGCACGTTGTTATGATGTGATGTGATGATAGTTTTATCAACAAAAAAAACAAATTGAAAAGATATAGGCAGAAGGAACCGACGACAATCGAGAGAAGAAGAAAAAAACAGAAAAAAAGAGATCTGCACACCAACAAACAGCAAATATAAAACTCAGCTAATCAAAACATTTTTTTCTCTCATTCTTTCTTTCGGTGAAATTTTTGTTTTGAGCAAAAAATAAAATCATCATTATCATCATCATTGATCCAGGAAAATCTTCAAAAAAAAGAAAAAATTCACAACGAATAAAACATGTGCAATGAATGAATGAAACATTCTTTTTTTTTATTTGATAAAAAAGGAAATGATCGTCATTTAATTAATTTTTTCTCTTTTCTCGTCGTTTGTGTTTGATTGTCGAAACTCAAGTGGTGAGCAAACGAAATAAACAACAACAACAACAACCATCATAAACAAACAACGAAAATAGATCCCATAGATGGATTTCATGTATTTTTTAAATGAAAATTTTCATCTAAAAAAAACATTTTTGAATCTATACCTAAATTGATTATCGATTGATTGATTGATTTAACAAAAAAAAAACTACGATGGTGTTTTTTCGTGCGTGTAACCATTATCAACATTGAGTGATTTTTTTTTTTTTGCCTGACTCGCACAGTATTCAGATTTCTCAACAAAAAAAAAAGTTGTTGTTGCTGCTCGGTGAAATATCTGTGTCATAATAATTATCATTAACATTTTAAATTTTTGAATATTTTTTTCCCATTCGGACATTTAAGAACAATTTTTTTCTCATTTTTTTGATCTCCAATTTGTTTGTTTGTTTTTGTTTTTGTTGTTTTTTTCCAATCTTCAATTTTGTTTTTTTGATCTCCTTATTTTAATGGCCATACCTCTATCATTATTATCTTTTTTTTCTGGATAAATTTGGCAACAGAAAATTTTTGGATTTTGATTATGGATTTAATCAATAATCGTAAATGTCGATTTTTTTCGACACATAATAATAGCTGTGTTCGTTCAGTTGCATTCAATCCAAAAGATCGTTTTATATTTTGTTCTGGTGGTAATGATGGACAAATTGGTTTATATCATGCTGGTCGTGCAGAATTATTACGAACAAATTCTGTGATCTCATCATCATCATCATCATCATCATCCAGTCATCATAATAATCGTTGTGTTAGTGGTGTTACATTTTCAAGCGATGGTAAAAAGGTAATATTAAAATCTTTGTGTATTTGATTTTCAATCATTTAGTAATATTATTCTGATTATGAATAGATATTGGCAACAACATCATCAAGACGTGTTTCAGTAATCGATGTTGAACATGGAAAACCAATTGTTTGTTATGATAATTGTGCATATAGTTCAATACGTGATCGTACACCATTAGCTATTAATCCTGAATCACCAAATATTGCTGCCTGTTCATATGTTAATGGTAAAGGTGTTACTATTATTGATTTACGTATGCCACTTCCATTGGATTTTATTTTTGATGTAAGTTTTTATTATTATTTTTGTGGTAATCAATCAATCAAATTTAATTATTTTAATCTAAATTTTTTTTATAGTTTCATACGGATTTAATACGTGATATTATATTTTTACATGAAAGTTGGCCTTTTTCATCCAAATCATCATCATCATCATCGACAACGACAACATCATTATCATTGTTGGAAAATAATAATAATTATGATAATGGAAATAGCAATAATTATCATCAACAACAACAAAATCAATCAAAAAATAATGGAATTATCAATGGTAGCAGTAGTGGTGGAAATGGTTATACATTATTATCATTATCATCACAAGGACAGGCAAAAATAACCAGTATTGATGGTCGTTTATTACATACATTTGATTTTGGTCATACGGGTAATTCAATTGTACCAACACCCGAACATTATGGCCAAACATATAATGGTTTTCAATCAGCATTAATTTGTGGTGGTAATATTATTTCAAGCTATATACCAAATGATGATTTAATTAAACAACAACAACAACAACAGACAACCAATGATTTTATTCATTCATCATCATCATCATCATCATCAAACATTCCTTTTAATCAATCTTATAATAATAATAATGGCAATAATAATAATTTTGATATGATGATCTTGGATAATGATAATCCACAGCAACAACAACAACCAAATAGCCGTACAAATCCATTATTTCCATCATTATCTGGTTCATTAGCATCAAATTCAACAGCATCAACAACACCATCATCATCATCATCATCATTTAATGTAATAATAAGCAATCCAAATAATGTTAATCTAAATGTTTATCAAATACCTCGTCGTAATGAATTAATGTTTGGTCCAATATCATCATCATCATCATCGATTGATTCAACACGTATACATCGTGCAATACGTTCAATTGTTGCAACAAGTCAACAACAAATTAATACTAGTAGTGCCATTTCATCCGGTTTGAATATTCATCATCATCATCATGCACATTCTCATAATAATTCACAACAGCAATCATCATCATCAATAGCATCTGGATCCGGTTCATCATCAACTATTAGTAATCGTTTGTTTCAAAATTTGATTAGTCAAAATCCAAATCATCATCATCATCATCATCATCACCATTTGTCACATAATCAACGACAGAATCCACTTTCATGGCATGGTAGTAACAGTGGTAATAGTGGTGGTGGTATGCTTGATATTTTTTCACTTATGAATGGTAGTGGAAATAATAGTGGTACTTCTGGATCATCAGTAAATCGTTTACATAGTCATCAACGACGACAACACCAACAACAACAACGACGATCATCATCATCAAGAAATATTCCTATTGTTGATGATTGTGATGATGACGATGATGATGATGATGATGACGACGACGATGATGATGATGATGATGACGATAATGATATTGTCATCAATGATAATGAAAATACAATTGAACAATGTAATCATCAATCAATAAATACAAATACTAATCATTCAATGAATTCAATATTATCTAATCGAAATATAATTGATCATCATACACCAATCAATAGTTTTATAAGGAAAAAAATATTATTCTATCATGATCATTGGGATCATTCGAATAAAACATTTGATACTATTATCAATAACAATAATGGTATTAATTCAACAATTATAAATCAACAACAACCACAACAACAGATTTATCGTTTACGATTTTCAAGTAATGGTGCAAATTTATATGCAGCCGGTGAAGGTGGTTTTGTTCGACAATATCGTCGTTATCCAAATCTGAATTTAAATTGTTTAGGTGAAATTTATCGTCATCGTGGTGATATACTGGATATGGATATATCACCATATGATGAATGTAAGTAAATTATTTAATGTAAAATCGACAATTTGACAAATCAAATTTTTATTTTTTTTTCCTGCAACAAAAAAAAAAATAGTTTTGGTTACAGCATCTAAAGATAAAACTGTTGGTTTTATTTGTCTTGGTTCACCTAGTCATGGATGGACGGAATATTATGAATATACTTGATTGATTGATAACAATAACAGCAACAACAAACAAACAAATATTCGTAATAAACATCTTTATCTTTAAATGAAAAATCTTTATCTTCATATAAACAACTTATCTGATTTTTTTTTTGTCAACACAATTGATCTATATTTTTTTCGACGTTATTTTAGGTAATAGTTTTATATTTGTATTCTACTTAATTGTTTAGGTAAACAGAAAAAATTTTAGCAAAAAACAAAACAAAATAACAAGATAGAAAATTATCTCATCTGATAAGTGCAATCCTTGTTATTATTATTATTTCTATATATCTTTTTCAATATATCCCTTTTAAATTTGATTATCAAGACACGCACATTGCAAATGAAATGAAATAATCATCATTGTAAAAAACAAATGAATTCTTTACGCCCTTTTTTCAATTCAATGTCTTACCTTTTTGTTTTCACAAACTTAATCATACAAACACACAACAAGAATCGAATCTAATCTAATCTGATCAATCTTATTGATTTGATTTGATAATCTTTGTATCTAAATGGCTTCTTAATCAACAACAACAACAATAGTACATGCATATCTTGAGTGTGGCCATCATCATTATCATCCAAAATAATCTATTTTTTCCACTCCAAAAAACAACAACAACAACAAAAACTTATTTATTNAAATCAAATTTTCATTTTTTTTCCTGCCACAAAAAAAAATAGTTTTGGTTACAGCATCGAAAGATAAAACTGTTGGTTTTATTTGTCTTGGTTCACCTAGTCATGGATGGACGGAATATTATGAATATACTTGATTGATTGATAACAAACAAATAAACATCTTTATCTTTAAATGAAAAAATCTTTATCTTCATATCTTATCGTATTTTCCCCCTTTTGTTTTGTCAACGCAATTGATCTATATTTTTTTCGATCTATGTTATTTTAGGTAATAGTTTTATATTTGTATTCTACTTAATTGTTTAGGAAAATGGAAAAAAAAATTTTAGCAAAAAAAACAAAATAACAAGAAAGAAAATTATCTCATCTGATAAGTGCAATCCTTGTTATTTCTATATATTTTTTTCAAATATATCCCTTTTAAAATTGATTATCAACACACGCACATTGCAAATGTAATCATCATTGTAAAAAAAACAAATGAATTCTTTACGCCCTTTTTTCCATTACATTCAATGTCTTACCTTTTTGTTTTCACAAACTTAATCATACACACAAACACACAACAAGAATCTAATCTCCTGAACAATCTTTATTGATGATAATCTTTGTATCTAAATGGCTTCTTAATCAACAACAACAACAATAGTACATGCATATCTTGATTGTGGCCATCATCACTATCATCCAAAATAATCTATTTTTTCCACTCCAAAAACAACAACAACAACAACAAAAACTTATTTATTTTTATCCACAAAAATGAAAAAAAAAATTCTGTAAATAATCGATGATGATCTACAATCTCTATGATTTTTTTTTCTTGATTAGCCTTATTTCATGGAAAATTATTATTATTTTTTTCAAATTTTTATTTTTATTCATTTTCATGCTTCAAAAAAAACTTAACCAAGATTATTGTCAAAAAATGAATTATTTTAATCTAAAATTCAAAATAAAAAAATGATGGAAAAACCATTTCGACATACAGTGGTCACCGGTATTCACAATAGCCACATTTGGTTTTTTGTTGTGATGTTTTTAGGTGCGCTCAAGAATTTTTTTTTCAATTTCACAATTTGATTTAATAATAATGGCCGATAATAAAAATGATGGATTTAAAGAATCAATCAGTGGATGTTCGACATCCGATCCTGATGTTATAAATAATAACAGTACGAATCAAACAATGCTCAACAATCAAATTCATCAATCACAAACATCACAGGATATATTCAAAGGTGCTGAAGGTGAATTTCTACAAGAACGTCTACAGGTTTTGAATCGTTTGACCAAACAAATTACATTGTTTCGACAACAAGCATTGGACAGTGTAAATGAACTTCGTAATTCACAGAAAAGTTGTATGAAAACCGAGATAAATAAATCGGATGCTGATCGTTTGAAATCATTATTCGATAAAGCTGTTATGGATTGTGATAAAGAGGCCGATGCTGTACGATTATCATTAGATCTAATACAAGAGATTCGAAATTATTCACGTTCAAGACAGAAAAAAATGCAATATGCATTTAAAAATAAAAAATCATTTATACGTCGTGGACAAATGATCAAAATATTGAATGATTGTGCTCATACATTACCATTATGGATTGGACGTTCAGTGAATGAAAAACCACCACCACTTTGTGGTGCTATACCGGCCGATTTGGAATATATTCCAAAAATCGGTGATCTAGTTGCAGCATTAATACCAACAGCAAGCGATATAATTAAACCATCAACATCGATTAGTCATCTAAATAATCCTAATCATGATGGTGATTGGATATTGGCCGAAGTTGTACACGTTAATGGTAATAAATTCGAAATCGATGATATTGATGAAGAACAAAATGAACGTCATTATCTTTCACGACGTTCATTGATTCCGCTTCCATTATATCGTGCTAATCCGGAAACTAATCCCGAAGCATTATATAAACGTGATACACTTGTTCTAGCATTATATCCACAAACAACTTGTTTTTATCGTGGTAAAGTATTACATGCACCGATTACAGCTAATGGAATGTATCAGATATTATTTGTTGATCATACATATCAAGAAGGTTATTCACCACCATTAGAAGTACCACAACGATATGTTGTAAAAGGACCAAAAGATTATTCAATCGAAACAAATAAAAAACGTAATCGTGAAACGGATCATCCAGAATCATTACAAGGTTTAATACCAAAACGTTTTCAACCAACAATGTCAACCATACATAAAACATTGAAAAAAGAATAAGAACGTGTCTTGTTTTGTAAACATATTGAAAAGAAATTTTTATTTCTTATCACCATCATCCATTTATTATTATTATCATTATTGTTGTTATTATTCATCAACATATTTTAAAATGGAAAAAATTCGTACATCATGTGTTTATCCTAATTAATAAACTTTCGATTTCAATCAAATAAGACAAACACTTTGTTTAAAGGAATATTTTTCCAGAAAATTATTGATTGATTGATGAATGTGTATTATTTTGTGTGAATGAAAAAAATGAATTATTAAAGTGTTCAAGTGTGTGTAAAGGAGTGATGTAAATACCAGCAGCATCTTTTTTTCCAAGTATAGTTTTAGAAGGAAAGAGAATCGAGCAGCAAAAAGTTGGTGAAAAAGACAAGGTATTTTTTTCTGAATGATTATAAATGATGATTGACAGTTTCGATTTATGAGCCGAAAACAAACCGATCATTCTTTTTCTTTCTTCCTTTTTTTCTCTTTTTAGTTGTGACTAGATATTTCAATTTTGTTATGTCGATAGAAGAAAAAGAAAACATTCAAAAACTTTTCATTATACTTTTTAACGATGATGTATTTTTCGTTGTTGCTGTCAATGATTGATGATCATTATTATTATTATTGTTATTAATTAGTTGATTTTTTTTATTCTTTTTCGACATAGATTTCATTAAAACTTTATCACGAAAATTCGAACCATTATTACGATTATTAGTATTCTTCAATGATATTACTTTATTTGTTGTCGTTAATGATGTTGTTGTTGTTGTTGAAGTCAATGATAATGTTGATGATTTTGTTGTTGACAAACTACTATTATTATTGTTGAGAATTTTTTTCGTCTGATTCGAAGAATTATTTTTATCGATTGCGGATGATTTTTCCAAAGATCCTGATAAACTTGGCCATTCTTCTTCTTCTTCTTGTTTTGGTTGTTCTACAACTTTTATCTTCAATTGTTGTTGGGGTGATGGTAAAACCAATGATGATGATGATGTTTTAGCCGTTTTTGTTGCATTAAAACATTTGGCAAAATTCTGTGATGAATATGATGAATTTGGTATGTATGATGATGATGATGATGGTATACTATCTTCGTAATTTGATTTCATATCATTTGATTGTAATGGTGATTTTCTTGCATCAACAACAGCTGGTTTCATTAGATTGGTTGTTGTTTTATAAAGAAAATTTACTCGTTGATTTTCAAACAAATTATCATTCGTTTCGGATGAGGTATTTTTTGGTTCATCAAACAATGATGGAAAATCTGAATCAGATTCAATTTTAAATTGTGATGATTTAAAATTCATATATGATGTTGTTGATGAGTTCAATGTTTCTGAATCAATTTGATCAAAGTCACTGTTGAAATCGATTCGCAAAAAATGAAACAGATAAATAAAAGATTTAGTCCGAATAATAAAAAACTACCTTTTTGGTTTTTCATGTAGAAATGGACAAAATTCTTCTTTATAACAAGCACCTTCAAGATAATATTTGCATGGTATTGATGATAGATCATGTGAAAATTTACAATCAAGACGAGCGCAAGCATTTTCAAGATAAAATGCACATGGTTTTAGTACTGGTTTGGCATCTAATAAATATTATTTGAAAAGAGATTTATTAGAAAGCCATTAAAAAACAATATCATCAACGTGTATGATACTCTCTACTTACCACTATCCGGAACAAGATATCTATTTTCCAATTTAAATTTTATATCCACCGGTTGTAAATTATCAATATCATTCGATGATGTCAGAAAACTATTTTGCCCACCAAATGAATTGTTCGACATCAATTGATTTGTATTCATCATCGACAAATCATTATTATCATCTTTAGGCATATTGATTAGATAGCCATCATAATTGTATAAATCATTTCCATATGATTCAACAAAATGCGTTGCTTCATTTTGATCAATCATTATTCCACCGTCCATATCATCACCATAATAATAGATATTATCATCATGCGGTCCTTGATAATCACTACAATCATTTTGCAGTTCGGATCCGGTCGGATACCAATTCTGTTGTTGATGGCGATATGATGATGTTCGTAATGAATAAAATGTTGAATGATCAACATTTGTATTCGAAGTTACCACGTGGCCATTAATATAATTATTATCATCATTTTTCGAATTATCATCAGCCGAATTAGCGTTTGATTTCAATTTATAACGTTTTGAAAATGGTCCCGATGGTTTTGGCGCTATTTCTTCAACAACATTTGCAGATTCAATAGTTGTATTATTTTGAACTTTAGGTAAAAATGATGTTGGTATTTTTTCCACATCAAAATCAGATGGTAAATCATCCGAATTCGAAAATGATGATGATAACGATGATGTTGATGATCCAGTAGATTGTATAGGTATCGATAATGAAGTTTGAAAGCATTCATTGCTATCAACTTCTATTTCATTTTGTCGTTCACGATTTATCGAATCAAGAACATTGTTAATCATTTCTGTCAAATTAATCACATCATTCGATGGTGATGATGATGATATAGTTGTTGGCAATAGAAGATTATCATCAATAATTGAATTTTGTTCAGATTTGCTATCCAATTTGTCACTGTCAAAACCACCAAAAAAAACATTACGATAATTAAAAAACCCAAAAATTCTATCATTTAAAAACTTACATCTGATTTGGACATTTTGAATTATTATCATTATTATTGACATTTAAATGATAATTATTCATTTTTTCAGCAAAATTTTTTCGAAAATGTTGCATCATTTCGTCATCGAATGAATAAAAATTTAATAATTTCGAATCGATTGTAGCGCCGCCAACATCACCATCACTATCGATAGTTGTCAAATTGAATTCATTCGAATTGGTTGTCTTTTCATTATCTGTCATTTGATTTTGACATTGTCGTTGTTGTTGAACCAAATCAATAATCAATGATAATTCTTCATTTAAATTCTTTTGACGATTATTATCTGTTGAATTCATCATAAACATATCATTCATATAGCCAAGTGTACTATTTTGATTCCATAAATTTGTTAACCATTCCATTCGTCGTTTATGATCCCAAAATTCAGGCATCATTGTTGTTGTTGTTGTTGACGATTCTTCTTCTTTATGATTTTTATTATTATCACAATCAATATTATCATTCAACATTGATTTAATTGGTTGCCACCAATTTGTTTCATCATTATCATCACTGGCACTATTATCATTGGAAAATTGTTGAAATATTTTCGTCATACTTTTTGGCCAAAATTCTTTTTCATGATAATCAAGCCATTCATCAATCGTTTCATATAATAATGATGATGATGTTGTTGTTTTTGTTGTTGTTGATGAAGATGATGGTGATATTGTTGACATAATGTATTCTTCTAATTCTTCATCTTCATTCGCAAATATCGATGATTGTGATGATTTTTTTGTAATGATTTCCATATGACAATCACTATCATCATCTTTATTGCGATGTTTTTTATCAATATGATCATCATCATCATATATCATCAATTCTGATTTCCATAATGTTGTTTTGGATGTAGTAGTTGTTGTTGCTATATTATCATCAAGGCTGTTACCATCATTTTCATTAACCATATGGTTGTTATCGTTCATCATAAATGAAGATAATAATGGCTTCATTGAATTATTATCAATGTTACAGTCATTAATCAGCAATGTTTGTTGTTGTTGTTGTTGATTTTGTTGGCCATTATTATCATCAACATTATTAAATAGTAAATCATTTTGATTATCATTGTCAATGACATTTTGGCAATCCATCAGTAAAAATAATGGGGATAATTGTTTTAAACTTGAACATTTTACCGTCATTTTTGTATGACCATCATCATCATCATCACTATTAATATTAATATTTTCATTGACATTTTTTTCATTATCATTTTCAATATCATCCTTGGCTAATATTGAATTTTCTAAAATTTTTTCATCATTTATTGCCATCGATAGTTTCTGTTTGATTGGTGATTGTTGTTGCTGTTGTTGAACACTTGTTGATTTTAAAAAATCTGGCAATAATGAATCAACACTTTTGCCATCATTTTTGGTCAAAGATTGGCTATTTTTTTCTTCATCATCATGATGATCATCAACAATCTGATTATCAGCAATTTTATCTTGATATTTATCTGTTGATGAAATTATTGATAATTTTTGATATGGTTGAAATTTTCGACCATTATTCGATGATGATGATGATTGAAAATCTCGTTTCGTATTAGAATATGAACGATGATTTATCGATGATAATGTTGATAGTTTACGTTGTTGTTCACCAATAACAACATTTTGTACATTTATTGAACGATTCATTGTTTGATTAGAAGAATAATGTTTATTATTTTTATCATTTTTCAATTTGATCACAGAAATTGTGGAAGTTGATGGCAATGTTGTTGTTGTTGTTGTTGTAGTAGTCATTGTCGAAATAGTTGTTTGAGTCAAATTAGTTTTCGAATGTTGATTCATTAAATATGATGGCATTAATTGATTAATTTTTTCAATTTCTTTTGCCGATAATCCAGTTGATGATGATGATGAATTATGATTCGAATGAGTATTATTATTATTATTATGGTTAGTTATCGATTTTATCGTAGCCGATAATATTTGATTTTCGGCCAAAATCGATTGATTTTGTTGCTGTTGATCATAATGTTCAGAATTTTTAACCATTTCCATTCGTTTACCATTTATTGTTTCATCATTATTATTGTTGTTATTGTAATTATTATTCATTACTATAATCGAATTATTATTATTATTGATTGTAGTCGATAATTTTTTCAATGTTGTCATTCGATCACCATTATTATTATTATTATTATTATTGATATTGGCATTATTATTATTGTTGATATTATCATTATCAATATTATCAATATTTGATGTTGATGATGTTGTTACAATTAAACCGGTACGTGATTTATTATTATTACCTAATAATTTACTTTTTAATTTTACTACTAAAGGTTTTCCCAAATTCTGTGGTTGTTGTTGTATAGAATTTGATGATGATGCTGTGGTGGTAGATTGATTCTGTAATTCTTGCTGCTGTTGATGATGAAAATCTTCAACATTCGTTGATATTACATTCAATTTTGGTTGATATTTTTCAACAATATTTCGAATAATTTTCTTTCCATTCCAACTTTCATCATTATCATTATTATCCACTAATGTTTGTCCATTATTATTATCAATAAATACTGAATCATCAAATGAAGATTGTTGTGATGAACGAAAATTTTCTGAAATGGATATTTTATTCCTACTATTACTACCACTATGACTATTACTACGTGATCCAGATGATGATTTCAATGTCGATGTCGTTGATGATGATGATGATGATGATGATTTGGTCATAATCATCGATTCATTACCTAATGCTGGAAATGCATCATAATATCTTTTTGCTTGATCCAATATCAATTCGGTAGTTGTTTTCACTTTTTCCTCTTGTTGTTGTTTGCCACCATTATTATTATTATCATTCGATTGACGATTACGATTCGTTGATGAAAATTGTAACAATTTCCTATGACGATCATCATCATCATCATTTGTCTGATGTTGTTGTTGTTGATCAAATTTTTGACAAATTTCATCAATAAATTCATCAAAATCTGTCGGCTTAATCATCATATCTTTATCGATTGCTGATTTTAAACATTTTGATAACATAAATTTTCGATAATCTTTTTTTCTTGAATATTTTCGATAACAATCTGGACAATCGATCAACATAAGATCATCATCAAAATCATCATCATCATCATTATTATCATCATCATTATAGTCATTTTGTTCATTAAAACGATCATTTGACATTGAACGACCACGGCCACTATTGTATTGTGATTTATTATCCGTTGTTAACTGTCGATAACGTTTATGCATCCATTTTGTTGTTGTTGGTGCTTTTTGTTGATTATTTTTTGGCCGTTGAATTTTCAATGATGATCGATTATTAAACAAACTAAATGGATTCAATTGTGTGGATGATGATGATGACGATGATGAAGATGATGATGTCGATGATGTTGTTGTTGTTGATGATAAACTAGGACTACCACGATATAATCGTTGATGTGATTCACAATAACGTAATTTTTCAGGTCGTCCAGTTGTTGTTGTTGTTGTTGATGCTGCTGATAGAAATTGTTTAAAACGAAAATTATTATTTGTTGTTATCGATCCTTCATAACCACTATCAGGTTCATTTAAATTATCTTCTAAATTATCATCATCATTTGTCGATTGTTGTTGTTGTGGTGGATATTGTTGTAATAATGATAATAAATATCGGCTATAAATAAATGAATCAATTCCACGTTGATCTAATTCGGCTTCTAACCAATCCAATAGATTTTCATCATCATCATCATTATCATTGTATTTTTGATCTTGTTGTTGTTGTCTTTTATTATTGCTGCTGCTGTTGTTGATATTTTTTAATGTTGATGATATTTGTAAAAGATTCTGCGTTGATGACGATAATGATGATGATGAAGAATTTGTTGTTGTTGTTGTTGCTGTTGGTGATGAAAAACGTGAATTTGGATTCTGTCGCGAATAATGATGATAATGAGATGGTGATGATGAAGGTGATTGATTGAAGTTTTTAATCGAATCTTTTACATTTTGATAATGAAATGTTGTTGATTTTTTCGATTGAAATGGAAATTTTGCTGCTGCTGCTGCTGCTGTGTTTGTTTTTTTCGAAAAAATCGATGATGATGGTGATGTTGAAAATGATTTTCGTTGATGATGATGATGATGATGTTTAAATGGTAAAGATGTTGTTAGATTATTATAATAATCATTTCGGGAAATTCTATCGGAATTCGATCCATTATTATTACTATTTCCACCTTTACTGTCAATAGATGTTATTTTTGATAATTTATTTATTCGAAATTGTTTGTTGTTATTTGATCCAACATCATAATTAAATTTGGATAAATTTTTCAGTTGATTATTATTATGATTTCGGTTTGTTGTTGAATTTTTATCAATTGATTCTTGTCGTCGTTGTTGTTGTTGCGGTTGTTGATGATCAGATTGATAAAAATTCAGGCTTGATTCCATAAATATTATTTAGATTCCAATGATGGGGAAAAGAAGAAGAAAAAAAAATCAATAAATGATGAAAATAGATTGGCACTTGAATTATTCTGCAACAAAAGGAAAAAATCGATGGCCGAAATTGAATGAATGAAAAAAAATAAAAAGGAAAAATATCAAGAAATCATAGCAAGAAGAAGGATGTTTGGTTGGTTGGTGGTGAATTCAGAAAAAACCAAAAAGAAAGAAAATCAAATTAAAAAGCAAATCAAAATGATATGATGTTAAATATGAATGGTGATTTTGATTGATTTTAGTTTTTAGTTCTTCATTTCCATTTCATTATCGTTGCATGATTCTTTTGAAACGTTGAAATTCTGCTAATTCATTTGATTTTTTTGTTTGTTGATATTTTGCTTGACGGTTTCAACTTATCATTTTTAATATTTTTGAATTTTTCATTAAATTTTTTCTGTTTTGTCGTTTGAAAATATCACAAAAATTTTCTTGGTTGTTTTTTTTCAAAGGTATTTTTCTTTCAGTTTTCACATGATATTTTTATATGTTGTACAATATTGATTAATGTGAATGGGATCAATCATTACGATGATGATCATTAGGTTATAGAATCATTGCCATTATTGATTATTCATTTTTCGTTATTATTATTGTAAAAATGGATACAGATTCAGTTTTGCAATGAAAAATTTATTCGATGTTTCAAATAGAATTATTTCATATTAAGAAATTTTCTGGATAAAGAATTTATATTTTAGGGGTTTTCTTTCGTTGTTTTTTTTTAAAATAAAAAATTTACGCAAAAATCCAATTCACAATTTTATTGAAGACAAATACAAACAAAACAAAACAAAAAATCATCAGTGTTATAATATCGCTCTTTTTTTCTCCAAAATAATCATCAACATCAAACAAACAGTGGCTCTGTGTTTGTCTTCGATCATCATCATCATCATCATTTGAGTGATGTGTGTTTCGATGACCGTTCATAAATGATGTGATGAAATGAAATGAATTTTTGTTTTTGTTTTTGGTTTTTTAATTTTTCAGAAAAATTTTATTGAAATTTCTTTTTAATTATTATCATCAAATTCTTTAACAATTTTTTCAATTTTTTCACATGCTTTTTGTTTACTACAACGTTGACGAATATTTTTTGCAATCGATTCGGTACGCAAACGAAATCGATCATCAAATAATAAACGATCAATCGAATCGATCAATTCATTATCTTCGAAACGAAATGGATTCAACGTCAGGCCAACTTGTTTTTCCACCGCACGTACACCATTATGGTATTGATCATAAAACATTGGCATTATTAGAACAGGTTTACCAAAATAAAGTGCTTCAGTAAAACCATTATTACCACCATGTATAATGGCTGCATCAACCATCGATAAAATTGTTGTTTGTGGTACATATTTATCACCCCACATATTATCGGCTAATTCATATTCATCATGTAATTTTCCTTTCGATACCAGATACCAATGTTTAGTTTTAGCCAATACCTGTACTAAACGTTTCATTAATTCAACACTACCAGATCCCATTGAACCAAGTGATAAATAAACTAATTTATCACCAGATTTCATTCGATTACGAAATGGAATTTCGAATGTTTTTCCATCCGCATTCGATTCGAACCGACAAAAAGCATCAACACCAACATAACGATTTGGATCAATATCAATACAATCATCATAATCCAATTCTTTTGGATATTGATAAAGATTTAGATATGGCGAAAACATTATAAATCGATCATTAGTTTTTGGTGGTACGATGCCTGATTCTTCAAATAATATTCGTTGTCCATCACGAACTTTTGAATAAAATATTTGTTCCAATTCTTTTTGAAATGTTTCCCATGTTTTTGGATCACTTTTCGTACCGAAATCGGATATAAATGGTGGAAGTTTATCCGATTGAAACAAACCAATTGGATGTGAACAAAATAAATAAATCCATGGTCGATTTGTTGTCAATAAACTTGGTGGAAATATTTCACAATCAATAATAATCAAATCAAATGATTCTTTTTGAAGATACAATTTGATTTGTTGATCAAATTTTCTTGATGTACCTGCAAATGTATCTTCGAAAAAATTCATCCGATCTAATGAACGTAATTTTTCCAATGGTGTATGATCGGCCAAAAAACCATATTCAATCATTAATTTTATATATTCTTTTACCGAATCTTTTGATTCTGGTTCAGCATCTTTTTCATCAACATTTTTCAATTCCAAATATTTAAAACCATATTTTTGATATTTCGGCATTGATTCTTCGGTTGTAAAAAAATAAACATCATGTCCACGTTCCTGTAATGTTTGTCCAAGTCCAATACAAGCATTTTGTGGTCCAGTCAATTCAGTTGTATAGAATATTATTCGCAATGATGATTTTGCCATATTTTTTTCAGTTTTCTTCTTCAAAAAACTTGATGTACCAATATTTGATTTATGTTACAATGTGACATTGAAAAAAAAAACAAAACCAGTATTTATGTGTTCCTTGTGATCAAAATCTTTTAACTGATTAGATAATCAACGAAAAGAAGAAAAAAAATTATCAAAATTTTGCGGCATTCGATTTTTGATTTCAAAAAAAGAAAAATCATACCGTTCATAGATAACAGTATCATGCAATTTTTTGTTTATCTTTAAAAACCGAAAAAAAAATGATGAACGATATTCGTTTTGTTCGTTATGGTGATCTGATTTTATTTGATGAAAAATCATTTCTTTTGAAGTTTAATATCAATTCAAAAGATGATGATGAATCATTTCGTTTGATTCAAACAAATTCAAATGAAAAATTTGAACAATTACGAAAAAAATTACGTTTTAAACGTGCTGCATTAATATCGAAAATTTTTGATGATAATTTTCGTACACCAAATGTTTATCTTTTCTATGATTATGATTCAAACAATCCAATCGATCCATGGGTAATTCAAATTGATAATGGAATAAAATATTCATTCGATGTAACCAGAACTATGTTCTGTAAAGGTAACTTGTAATCGTTCGATTGATTTTTTTAATTCATTTTTCTCGCAAACAGGTAACATTAGTGAAAAACTTCGTTTGGCCAAATTTGATTGTCACGATGAAATTGTTATCGATCTTTTTGCTGGTATTGGTTATTTTGCTTTAATATTTGCTGTACATTGTCATGCTAGGCATGTTTATTGTTGTGAATGGAATCCAGCTGCAATTGAAGCATTACGACGGAATATTCGATTGAATCATGTTGAAGATCGTATGACTATTTGTGAAGGTGATAATCATCATAGTTGTCCACATGGAATTGGTCATCGTATTCATATGGGATTAATACCAACCAGTTTAGAATCATTGGAAATTGGTTGTCAAGCATTAGATCTTTCCAGTGATAAAGATTTATTCATGCATATACATGAAAATCTTAGTTATTTTGAACAAATTAAACAACAATCAAATGGTGAAAATAAACCGCAGATAATCGAAGAACAACGAAAAAAATGGGCAACAAATATCTGTGAACAAATATCAACGATACTCGAAAAATTATCCAATATTCAATTCAATGTAACATATAATCAAATTACACGTATCAAACGTTATGCACCACATATTGATCATATGGTTGTTGATATTGTTATTTCGCGAAAAAAAATTGATTAAAAAGTTTAAAAATTTGAAAAAATAAAATAAAATTGAATTTATACACGATCAGTATTCGATTGCATCGTATGAAATTGTTTATCCATAATGTATGCCAACTGTTCTTGGGGCAATAAAAAAAAAATCCGCCTGTTGTGTTTGTTGTTTTGCCGATTTGAGTGTCAATCATAATTGCATTTTGTTTTGTTTTGTTTTTTTTGGATAATTTTAAAATCATTTTTTGCCATCATTCAGCGTAGTGTGATTCTTTTTATTGAATTTTCGACATAATTGACATTTTTGAATACGACATAAATAACAGAGAATTTAACAAGAAAACCCAAATAATGGAATCGAATGAAATATTGATTGACAAATCGACAACATCAAACAATAATGTTAATGATAATGGTGACAATTGTTCGATGACAATAACAACACCTATCATATTGCCAATTATTGATCCAACAAATTATAAATCTTCGGAAACCTATTTAGATGATCGTTTAGAATTTCAACAATATTGGGAAGAAAATCAAAATTCATCAATAGCCATATTGGAATATTTGGAAAAATTTTCCAAAACAAATTTAAATAAATTTATACATTCAATATTGTATATTATTGAATGGTCATGTATGCATCAGAAACAAAATTTACCATTATATTTGGCAAATATTGATGATTATCAAAAAAATAGATTAAAATTACCAAATTTTAATGATGATAGTGATAATGAAAAAATATTTACAGAAATATATTGTAAACATTTTCAACAATTATTATATGAATTTTTTGATGTTTATTTTCGTTATCATCGTTATATGACATCAATAAATGATTTATTATCAATATTTCCACAATTAAAATGGCTAATGTTACAACAATCAAATAATGTTGGTCATTATCTTTGTCAATTAATGGCACGTACACAACAATCCGATACAATTGGTTTCATATTCGATATGATATTTCAAGATTTAGATTTTTCTCACAATAATAATGATGATGATAAATCTATTCAACTTGATGCTTTGATTATTGTTTTTATTAAGGTAATGTTATTTGATTTTTCATCGATAATCGATTAATTTCATTTTCTTCATTTCAGTGTGATGGTTCATTTCGTATTATTGAAAAACAATTTCATCGTTATGATAAGAAAATTTTTGAAAAATTTTTACAATTATTAGATGAATGTCTTTTAAATAATAGAAAATTATATAATTATTATCAACATTATCAATTGGAAGATTATCCAATACGTACACAGAAAATGATTAAACGTTTACTAAATCGTATACATTATAATCTGGATGATTCAAATGCATTTCAATGTACACCACGTCATATTGAAACATCAAATTGGGAAACACTTGCATATTTGATTAAATCAAGATTTAGGGTTTGTATTTTGATTTGTTGATTGATTGATTGATTTGACGTTTCTTATTCGTTTTACAGATGAAAAACATTAGTAATGAAGCATTCTATGAGCTAAGTAAAAAACTTATCGATGATTCACCTGAAATTGAATATAAATTTCAATCATGTCTGAAAAAATTGGGTCCAATTGAATTACAAAAATATTGGGATTATTTACGTGATAATGATCTAACGCAACGTAGCTGTCCATCATTTATTTGTGATAGAAATTTTTTAATCGATTCAATTCGTTTAACAACAAATCAACCATGTAGTCAACGTTCTTGTTTTCAAAATAATCATCATAATGATTGTTCAATGATACGACAACAACAGCAACAACAACAATATTATAAAGGAAAACCGAATGAAAATTTTTCAATACATTTTATTAGTGATGAACAAAGTTTATATAATATGTTATATGTTCATCTACCGGTATGTGTTTTCTGTGAATTTTTGTAATTTTTGTTTTAATTATAATTTTTTTTTTAATTAGCATGAAAATATAATGGCTATCGATGCTGAATGGTTACCAATATTTTCCTATCGTCGACATAAAATATCAATCATACAGATTGCATTACGTAAAATTTGTTTTATAATTGATTTGGTTGATTTTACTACGAAAAAATCGGATGAATTTCGTCGTCTTTGGCTGCAAGAATTTTGTGGCAAATATCTTTCAAATGCGGAATATATGAAAATTGGTTATGGTATTACACAGGATTTAGATATTCTTGGTTATAGTACTGGGCAGATGACAAATTTAAATCTAAATGGTAATTGTGATTTAGCACGTTCATCACGACATTTAGTACAATTTTTATCCGATCAATCTGTTCGTCATTATAATAAAATAGCAGCACAAATTAAACGTTCGAAAACTGTATTAGAATCATCATCAAGATCAAATAATGGTGGTAATAATTCAAATCAATTTCAAGGTCTTTCAATGTTAACCTATGTAATGTTTGGATATTCATTGGATAAACTGGAACGACAATCGGATTGGAATCGTCGTCCATTACGTCATTCACAATTATTATATGCATCATTAGATGCATATTGTTTAATTGATATTTATGATAAAATTCATTTTATTGGACAACAATTTCATTTTGAAAATGTTAAAGAATTTCTACAATATGTTATGGCTAATACGATTGTTGAAAATAATTGAATTTGATTGAATGATTTTTGCATGTTTTTTTTGGTATTTGCTGTGAAAAAAAAATTTTTATTTTTTAATTATCAAATTTTTTTTCCTTTTTTTTGACTGAATTACCTGTCGACCTTGATGTAATTTGATTTAAATTCATTTTGTTCATTTTTTTAAAATTTCATATCACAAACATCTTCGTCATCGACAACAAGGAATTGAATTTGCGAAAATAAATTTTTTGAGAAGAAAAACAATGAGCAGCAGCAGCAGCAAACAATGTAATGTGATTATCTAAGATTGACTATTCAATCGAAAAAGGGAAAAATTACCTTTTTTCGCACCTGTCGCATCGATTATCATCATCATCAATTTTCTCTGAAAAAACAATGGTTTCTTCATAATTATTATTTAACTTGAAAAAAATTGTTTGATTGACTGGCTGGCTGTACAAACAATTTTCATCTTTTTGGCTGTCAAAATGATGATGATTATAGCACCATGATGATGATATGGCCTCGACATTGAACTCAACTGTGAATGAGATTTCGTGACTACAACAATATAAATTTCAAAAGGAAAATGTTTGATTTTTGATTTTATTTGTTTTTTTTTGCTTTTCTAATTTCGATCGATCGATCGATCAATCAATCAATTTCTCTGATCGATAAATGTATCATAAAAACAGCAGGTAATCAATCTGATAAAAATGATTGCACACAGTGTTAATATTCACACCTTGTTAAAGTTTTCAATTTTCTTTAGCTTCAATAAACTTTACAGTAAAATTTTTTCAAAATTAAATTTTTAAATTTTATTTTATTTTTCCCAATTTTTTTGTTTAAAATTTTAAAAATGTGATTGAAACAGATTGGATATAAGTATAACATTAATAAAGAAAAATATTAAACTACGAAAATTATCCGCACTTGTAATAGTGAATATATCACCACAACGTATACCAATCATATTGGTTGTTAGTTGTAAATGTGTTTCCAATAATTTCAAACGAAATAATATCAAACGTATCGGTAGATATTGACAATGTTGTTGATGTTGTAAGATTTGTTGTCGATTTGAAATGATTCGATCATAAATACTCATAACTGTTGATTGTTGATGTTGTTGATGATCATTTTGACAATAAATTAATCGTTCAATCTGCGGTATTAAACGTCTTGAATAGACATTTAATTGTGCAAACACAGTGAAACCAATTACAGCAAATGTAAATGTAGCAAAAAATACAACTGCCAATGCATAACGTATAAAATCTTCACTACGTAAATCTAATAACAATACTAATTCCATATCATTAATAATAACATAAACATAATAAAATATTAAAACAAATGTAGCAATTTCATGTGCAAAACGCATAATTTTGCCATTAATTTCATTCAATTGACATAATAATTTTATACGATATTCATGTTTGGTTGATGATTTCATCAATAACATTCGTGTTCGTACATGTTCATATTGATAATGATATAATAATGCAGAAATTAATAGAATAAATAACCATGATAAACTAAAATTTAAAACACGAAATGTACTAAATAATAATATTATATTAAAAAATATGAATGAAAACCAAAATAATAATGATAATTGATAATTATTATAACCAATTAAAAAATCTAAACCGATCATATTTAGGAAAAATATCATCATTATACAGCCAAATATTGGTATTGCACGTACATAAAAATCTAACCAACAACATAATTTACGTAATTGTTTACGATTATTAATGGATGAATATTGTATTGTTGATTGTAATTTTCTAGATTTTTTTATTAATGCAGATTGATTTGGTTTAAAACTATTATCACCAAATGTTTGTTGAAATATTTGATCCCATTGTTTGATTTGTATGAAAAGATTATAACGTTTTTTCGGATTCAATACTATTTTCCATGATAAATAGACTAGTGAAAACAAAAAAGTTGAATTCCATCAAATTTCAAACACAAATAAAAAACTTACATAATAAAAATTCACAAAAAAATGATGAAAATAATGCTAGATTAAATTGATAACGATTTTCACCATAAATAAATAATGGTGCAAATATACAAGTATGCCAATTAAGTTGATGATCATTATCATTTAATTCATCATAGGATTTTAATGATGAAAATAGCCGAAATAAATTCAATATACCAGGTATAACATTAAAAATTATAACATATTTTTTACGTTTATTATCAACAAATTTTCTATTTGTAATTTGTTCAAATTCATTTAATGGTAACAGATTTAACAGAATCATCCATTTAATTAAACAACGAAATGGATTACGACGATAACGTCGATGTATACGATAAACAATATAATCATATATTGATGATAATTTTGTCAAACGAAATTGTTGTTTTCGTATGGTAAAATTATCATTCTGATTGATAATTGGATTAGTTGAATCGATTATGTTTGACCAATTTGTTCGATATAATTGTTGTTCAATAGCCATATTTTTGTTTCAGCAAAGAATTTTTAATGAATTTTTTCTCCAAAAAAAAATGTTGTTCGATCGAATAGAGATCCAAAATGAAAATGAATTCAGGAATTCGTGAAAATTGGGAAAACAGAAAAAAATTTATATTTTCAATGTCGGAATTTCTTTCCCGTTTTTTTCACTGGTAAACAGAATTGATTTTATAATTCTGCATTTTTTTCTTTTTTGGATAACCAGGAATAATCGTTTTGAACGCAAAAGTGTCACGAAATTTCCATTTAATTTATGACCCAGTAAAAATAACCAAGAAATATCAAAGTAATAGTAAATGCACTTGACAATTTGATCAATTGCTAATTTGCTTTTACCAGAAAAAAATTGACGGAATTAACTTTTTTTTCCTGACTTAATCAATTTAATTTCGTTCGATTTTAAAATGAAAAAATCTTTAAATTTTTTTTGTAAAATCAATTTCAGTCAAGTTTTTTCCACTTTTTTGTTTCCCCTTATAATGATTTTCAATGTGAAAAACAAAACGGTAATGATGATGATGATAAGTCTGAATTATCGTCATTATCGTTGTTGTTGTTGTCGATATTATTCGTGAGAAAATTTGACGTTTTTATTCACTTGGTAATCAATTTTATGCACCTTAGTTTTTTTTTGCTTTCGGTAAATAAGCCAAAAAACGAAAACGATTTTTCCGAAAAACATTTCCAAAGATGAAAAAACCAAGTTTTTCAGAAACTAAAGTGAAGGATTCCAAAAAAAACCATGGAAAAAAGGGGTCGATGGCCAATATTCTTTGCAGAGAATTTCTTTTCTTGTTTCTGTTGGTGGTGGTGAAGAGAATCTTAGCCTTGTTCATAAATTTTTTAAATGATTTTTTTTTTTAGCTAAAGCAACAAAATTATTAAGAAAATCCATTTTTCATTCGACTTTCGTGCGTAGGTGTTGTTGCTTGAAATGGCATTTTGACAAATTCATTTTTTTTCTTCGTTTTTTTTTTGTTGCTGTGGCTTTTACCTGCCGATGGCAAAATGAAAACGAAAAAGAAGAGGAAAAGTTTGCAAAAAAATCCCAAAAAAAACTTTGAATTTTTTCTCAAAAAACGAAAGAAAATTGTCGATTAAAAATTCAATAATGTTGATGATACTGATGATGATTAACCCGTTTTTTTCTGCCTGTTTCGAAGAAAATCCACATCCCAAAATTCACTTTCATTGTGGAAATGGAAATTTTTTTCATTCAAAAAAAGCAAAAAAAGTAAAAGTTTCAAAAAAAAAAGAAAAAGAAAATTGTACCCACGCGCGCATCCTTTTTTTTGTCGTATACGAAAAAACATCTGGTGTTTCTTTTTTTTGTTGAAATTTCGTTCAAACATCATCATTGATGAATCAATAATGATGGTAAACTGGCTTTTGGATGGACGCACAATGAAGAAAGTTTCGACATTGTCGTCGTTGTTGTTGCTGTAATTGAGGATGAACATTGTTTGAATGATAAAGTTGTTGTTGAATGTTGGTTTGGTTGGTTACATACCACACACACACACACACAAAATAACCATGGATTGATTATAATTAGTTTTTTTAAGTAGGCGAATATTATCAATTGTTTAGCAATGTTTTTCCGATGTTTTTCATTTCATTTTCTTCATACCATTGGTTTAACACAGCAACATTCCAAGAGGAACAAAAAACAAACAAACAAAAAATAGGAAATGTTTTTTTTTGTAGTTTTTTTCACCTACATTATTCATTTTAGTTTTTAAATTCAATTATCAATGTCAATGATATTTGATGCTACTATCACTATCACCAACACACCAACACCGTTGATTGATTAATTTTTCCTGATTCCGTTTTGTTTTTTGTTTTCAAAATTCATTTTCAACCAAACGAAAACAAAAATCCAACTATCAAGTGACAAGTGATGTGTTTTGTGTGTTTCGTTTGTGAATCCATTTTTTTCAATTGAATTTTCTAATAATGTGCTAATCTAATTGAATGGAAATGTAATCAGATTGTTGTTAACATACGGAAAACATTTTTTTTAAAAGTTGAAATTCTTCAAATGATATGATATGATGATTACAAGAAAATCATCATCATCATCATCGAAAACAATGAATTCAAAACAATTCGGATCAGTATTATCATCTATATCTTCTTCAAATAAATCGATAATGAATAAATTAATCATAATCATCTTAACAATCATCATAATTATACCATTAATTTCATCACCATTCGCATTGATTATCAATGCAGAAACATTACATGGAACAACAATATTGGTATGGTTAATTTAATTTGTATTTTAGACAACACATAGACAAGCTATCGCCATCTAGTGTTGAGTAATGGGAATAAATTTTTGATTTTTTTTTTGATTTTTCAAATTAGAATTGGCCATTTGTTAGTCAACGTTCAAATGGACAATTTGAAGGATATTGTATTGATCTTCTGAATGAATTAGCACCATTAATGGGTATTACATATACATTATCATTGGTACGTGATGGTCAATATGGTGGTTGGTTATCACCAACAAATGGTACTGTTAATGGAATGATTGGTGAAGTATCACGTGGTGAAGCTGATTTTGCTATCGGTGATATAACCGTATTAACAAATCGTGCCCGGTTTGTTGATTTCACTCAACCATTTATGGAATATGGTCTTGCTGCATTAATACGTCGTGATATTCTTGAACGTTATGGTCATCATATTCGTACATTTAAAGAACTATCCGAACAAACTGATATTCGTTATGGTGTTAAAAAACATGGTGCCAATTTACCGTTGTTTCATGATAGTCCAACAGTAGCTAAAATGTATAGCTATATGGATACACATCCATCGGTTTTTGTTGATGGTGAAAGTGAAGGATTAAAACGTGTTAAACAAGAACGTTATGCATTTATTACCGAATCACCATTTGTTGAATATATTGTTGAACGTGATTGTGATCTGGTTGCTATTGATGATCGTCGTCGTAATTTTCAATTTGAATATGCGATTGCATTACCGAAAAATTCACCGCTAAAAGATCGTTTTAATCGTGCATTACGTCAATTACGTATGGATGGTAAATTGAGTGAATTGAAACAAAGATATTGGCAAAATCATAATCGTAATTGTCCAAATGATTCAAATTTCGATCCAAATCGTCCAAAATCAACGACAAAAATTCAATTTTCCGATCATACAAATCGCAGAAAACCAAATACTGATGATGATGATGATAATTCTTCGGGAAGATTACGACATAGTGGTGGCCGTATACAACCACATGATCGTATTGATGAAGATGATGTTGAATTAATTAAACCACGATCAGATCGAACACGAAGACCACTAAAACCAACAACTTTTCGAAATTCTGATTCTACATTTATTTCGGGAAATTTTCCAAAAATTTTATTTACAATTATAATTATTTTGATAATTTTTGTAATTTAAAAAAACATTTAAAAAAATAAACATTTGGTTCATTGAATATTAATATAATTTTTAAATAAATTAAATAAAAGTAATAAATTCATTGTAAATGATAAAAATAATAGAATAAATGAATAATTTGTTAATGCTGATTTACCACCACAATTAAAACCAATACGATTATCAATGATTTCCTGTTCTAGATGAGCAATTTTCAGACGCCATAATATTGTATGTAAACGATTCTTTCCATAACGATTACGACGACAATATTCAACAATTGTTGTTGTTGTTGTTGGTAAAATATTCATATGATTAAAATCATGATTATTTAGATTGATAAACATGGTTCTTCGGTTGTTATTGTTATTATAATCATAAAGAGAATTACGTATAATCGGTAACATTGTATGTGAATATTGATTTAATTTAGCTAATGTACCAAATAATAAAATTGCATAGCTTGATGTAAAACCAATAATGGATGCCATTACAATGCTTAATAATGAATAACTTTTTGATTCAATAAATAAAAATAATAACATATCCTGTGTGAATAGATAAAATGTATAGAATATAATTAAAAATGGACGCATTCCATTTGAAAAATGTATTATATTTTCATTTATACGATAAATTGATTTGATTAAATAAATTTTCATCATCATTGATAATGATGATGATTTCCATTCTAAATTACCAATGGTAAAAATTTTAGTCATAAAAAAACTAGTTTTAAAAATTTGAAAATCATACCTGATTCTTTCATCCGGATAAATTGCAGCCGAATTATATTAAATCTCCAACGATATGAATAAACAGACATAATAATAAAATGTAACCAATATGATGATATCATCATCATTTGATAGATTTGAAATATAAATAGAGAATCCATTATTAACATTTGTGGATGAAATAACCATGGTATCGGTGGACGGTTTGGTTGATAATAACCAATATATGTTTCCAAACAAGTGAAAAATACTGCAGCAAATGTAAATGATTTAATAAATATTTCATATGATAATAATAAATGATTATAATAATGTGCTGTTGAACGAAATGCAGCCGGACTACAATCTGGTATGGGATTCACAAAATTCATACCAAACCAATGAAGATATTCACTCAATACTGACCAAAATACTTGGCCAATTGATATGGCAATAATATTTGATAATGGTTTTGAATTCATTGATCCTTTCATTCGTTTGGACATATTTTCATAACAATTATTTAAATGTTCAAATCCTTTGAATACATGTTTTGCTTTTGTTGGATTAATGAATATTTGAAATGATATACCATCTATTCAAAATGAAAATTTTCTAGTAAATTACTTTTCTAAGAAAGTTTTTTAAAAAAAAACTTACACATGGATGTCAGACAAATGAATGTTATAGCAAATGTTAGATGTAATGTTTGTGTTTTTGATTCATACCAAATAAATGGACGATACAAGAATCTTGATCGCAAATCATTATGATAATCACGAACAACGATATTCATACCAAAACGTAATAAATTAAAAAAAGTTGGTATTAATAATAATAATAACATTTTTATAAATTTTTGTCGATCATATTGATATGTTTGAAATAATTGTTGTCGATTCTGATATGGTAATAGATTATGATTGATCATACGATCTAATAATAAATTATATGGATTTTTTGGTAAATCTAATGATATCTTTTGATTTGTATTATTCGATTCCATTATCGTTGTTGTCGCTGATATCATCAATAAACTAAGCAGAATTTTGATTATTCTTTGAAGAAAATTTTTCCAAAATGTTTTCGAAAAAATGTTTAAAAAATAATGAAACAAAGTGAAGAATTTCATATTTTTTTATTTTGTTTCTGAATCCTTTTGTTTACTAGTTTTCATTGATTATTTTTTGTACAACTTTCGTTTTGTATTTTTTTTTGTGTGAATGAATGAATTAATTTTATTGATTTTCTTTTTCTCTTCAGAAGAAATCTTGTGACTTGTTTTTTTTTGCTTGGGGTTTTTTGTTTTATCAAATTTTTCTTTAAAAAAAAGGTACGTCGATTGCATTCAGTCATCACATTTACGTAGACTTTTTCCGGCAAGTCAAATTTAAAATGTATAAAAAGTGTACATTATTTGTATCACCGAAAAAAAAACAACAAAATATGAAAAATCTTGAATGAATGAATGAATTTCAACATTCCGTTATTTGCAATTACATTTTTTCTTTAAAAATATATTTTTTTTTGTTGTTAGTTTTTTTTTTAAAGAAAAAATCTATATGTCTGATGAAAGTAATTTATGTATGAAGCAAAAGATTGATTTTTTTTCGTCGTTGTTGTTTGAAAATATTTTTCAAAATAATAAATAAAATCAGTAATTTTGGAAACAAAAATCATTATTGAACTACCTGACAAATGAAGAATTGTTTTTCGTTGTCGTCATTGATAATGATGATGATTATGGCAAGATAAAAAAAAAAGCTAATGATGATCATTATGCAAATTGAATTGAAATATGCTTTAAAATGTACCGAAAAAAAAAANATAAAAACAAGGTAATAATAATTGAATGAAACCAAAACAATAATGACGAAAAACAGATGAACGCAGCAAACAGTAACAAACATAAAGAATATAAATGAAAAAATAAATAATAATAATAAAATATTATTATTGCAAACAAAATAATAATAATAATAATAACGATAATGGTAATGATATTGGATCGAAAAGATGGTCAGAGAAGTAAAATAAATAAAAAAAAACACTAGACACACATGCATGTAGTAATAATTATTAAATATATTGCGAATGAATAGGGTGGCGTGCATGTCGACCTGAGCACACGTGTTTTTGTTTTTTGCATTTTCATCTTATCGTTTTTCTTCAATCTTGTTATCTCTATCAGCAAAAACAGCTCTTTTTAGAGCTCATCTTCAAGATCGTGAAACGAGAATTCTTTTGGTACCAACACCAGCAAAATCGGACTGTTCCTTCGGGTTTTATCTGATTTTTCTATATTGTCGTGAATTTCTCATCTTGATTTGGTTGTTTAACTGCATAATAAAAACCATCACCTATTAATTTTTCAACATTTGATCAATTTTCATCGTTATCATTGTTGTCATCCTCGATCAAATATAGTTAAAATTTACATTTTGAATGATTATTAGATAATTACAGCAACAGAAACACATCTCTCAAAATACGATCAAATCGACTTATTCAAAATGACTGGAAACGAAGACACGTCAACACCTATTACAATCTCTTCTATAGAAGATGTAACGAAATTTCTCAAATCTATTACTAATTCTCATGGCAATACTAATCTAAAAACGCATAAAAGCAATCTCACCAAATCGCTAGCAATCATCGAAGACCTAGCTCTCGGCATACCAATCCGTAATAATGAATCGAAGCTTTTGGAAGAGATAGCCAAACTAAAATCTGAGCTAGCATCGAAAGATAATGAAATCCTTAACATCAAAAATGAACTAATTACGATCAAAGCTGAGAGTTATGATAAAATAGTGAAGCATAGCTACGCCGCTATTACCAATAAACAACAAACATCGACTCCAAAAAGTTCAATACCTTCAAAACAAGTAACCTCAAACCACTTTGTGATTATTTCTCCAAAGGATGACAATACTACGAAAGATTCAAATCAATTAATATCGATGACTAAGGACAAAATCAGCAATAAAAAGAGCCTAGAAAACGGCCTACGAATCAAGAAATTCCAGCCATTAAGAGGCAAAAAATGTTTGATAAAATGTGACTCAGCAAACGACATCGACAAAATCTGCTCACTCCTGGATAATGATGACAAATTAACAGTGAAAAAGCCTACAAAAAAGAATCCTCGTGTCATGATAATGGGCATTTCAAAAGACATTCCCAAAGATGAACTGGTAAACTACATAGTCTCACAAAACCCGATAATCGATAACCACCTCAAATCCAATAAAGATGATTCCTTAAAAGTGATCTTTGATAAATCCGATCGTGTTGGTACGAAGTTTGCAGTAATCGAATGTTCGCCTGGAATATGGAAAGCCATCATAAACGAAAAGCGCCTTTTCATCGGTTTTAACGTCTGTCCAGTAAAAAACAGAGTCTCAATTCTACAATGTTACAACTGTTATCGCTTTGGCCATGTGGCTGATAATTGCAATGACCAGACAACTTGTGGTATATGTGCTAATAATCACGAAACTAAAGAATGTCATGCTAAAAACTATAAATGTGTAAATTGTGTCTGGGCGAATGAACATCGTCCTCCATCTTCGAGTACTGAATATCATACAGAACATCGAGCATTCCATCAGCAGTGTCCACAGTATCAAAAACAAATCGCTTTTGTATCAAAATATTACCACTATGGATAAAACAATAACAGTCTTATGTCAGAATGTCCAACATTCACGAGCCGGGACTCAACAGCTTCTTATTAATGCCAAAAATAAAAAATCATCCATCATCTGCATTCAAGAACCATACACGTATGGAGACAAAATCTGCGGCATGACCGGCTATCAAACGTTCTCAGATGTCAGTCCAAAATCTTCCATAGCCACTACGATGGCAAATGTTTTCTTGATTCAGCAATTTACAACCAACAACTGTGTCTGTGTACTAGTCAATAATCAAATCCCATTTTTGATAATCTCAGTTTACCTATCTCCAAACGATCCTTTACAAAATGACTCAACTTCACCTAATATCAACAATCTGAACAACGATCTCAACCATCTTAGCAATATCATCTCTCACTATTCGAACTATCCTATTATTATAACTGGTGACTTCAATGGTTGGCACCCAGCTTGGGGCGGTGATGTCACAAATCCTCGTGGAGAAATTATCTTTGATTTCATATCTTCGAATAGACTAATCATATTGAACGACGGCCTAATCCCAACACGAGAAGCCAACGGGAGCGCTACATTCATTGATATCACAATAGTCAACAACAAGGCTTTACAAATTACAAACAATTGGGAAGTGCTAGAAGAAGAAACCCAATCTGACCACAAGCTAATTAGTTTCGAGATATCGAGCGATAATACCTCATCAATACAGTCCTTAACCAGAAAGTACAAAACTAGCAATGTAGATTGGAACAACTTTGATACCTTAGCCAAAATAGAATTGCAACAAATCAACGAAAAATGCACTATTGTCAAATCCTCAAGCGATATTAAAAATCTCGTTGAGAATCTAACGATTCGAATCATTGATATCTGTGATAAAACATTACCGAACACCAAACCGAAAAAACGAATGATCTATTGGTTCAACGATCAACTAAAAGAGCAACAACAGCTTTGTAAAAGACTGAGAAGAAAGTGGAAACGTACAACCAATGCTTTCCTCAAAGAAATTCATCTAAATCAATATATCTTAGTCAGAAAAGAATATAAAAAACAGCTCATCTCAGCCAAGAAAAGCTCCATACGAGCCTTCTTCAGTCAACAAAACAACACTACAGTCTGGAAGCAAGTTTACAGCTGGTGCAAAACGCCTAGCAACCTAAATCAAAACCTGAAATCTATTAAAACATCGAACGGATGGACCTCTTCTCCGGAAGAAACAGCCAGACACCTCCTAGATAGCTTCTTTCCAGATGATACACCCGATGATCCGGGACAATCTCTAGTAACAGCTGCGGCGAGATCTGCTAGTACAACACGTGAAGATATTCCATTCAGTAGAGAGGAAGTATTAGACGCTATCAACACAGAGAGTGACAAAAAGAGTCCAGGAGAAGATGGAATATCTGCTAATATAATCAAACGTATAAACCGACTTTTTCCAAACTTATTCTACAATCTATTCAACAATTGTCTTAAATACGGCACTTTTCCAGATCAATGGAAAATTTCCATCGTCAAGATTATTCCTAAAAATACTGCAAATCAAAATAGTGCTAAATCTTATAGACCAATTAGTCTTTTATCAGTCACTGGAAAAATACTAGAAAAACTGCTCTATAAACGCCTCCTTTACTGGATATATCAAAACCCAACTGGTCTACAGGACAGACAATATGGTTTCATGCCTCAACGCTCAACAGAAGACGCAATCAATGTTATTGTTAAAAAACGGAATGAAATACTGGAAGAAAACAAATTTGGAATTTTCATATCCCTTGACGTGGCCGGAGCATTCGACGCAGCCTGGTGGTCACGAATTATTGTCTCCTTAAAGAATATGGATATCCCCAGCAACTTAATCACCATGTTCCAGAACTATTTCTCAAATAGACGAGCCAAATTACCAATCTGTGGCACATCAGCTGAAAAAGCACTCAACCGAGGTTGTCCCCAAGGCGCTAAGTGCTCTCCACTGCTTTGGAATATCTATTATGACAATTTATTGAAACTACAACTGCCTACTGATAGCTACATTCAAGCGTTTGCTGATGATGCTTTTCTTATAGTTACCTGTGAAGATATTGACATTTGTGAATTAAGAGCTAATAAAGCCCTTGAGATCATCGCCGAATGGGGCAGACACAATAAACTGCATTTTAATCCGACAAAAACTCAAGCCATGGTCATATCTAGAAGAAAAAAACTAAGAGAAATCAATATTGAAATGGACAATATCAAAATCTCCACAGTCAAATACATCAAATATTTAGGAGTCCTTATTGAAAATAAAAACCAATGGAATAAACATATTGACCTTGTTGCGGGGAAAACCCGGAAGATCTATCATCAACTATTGAGAACATCAGGCAAAGAATGGGGAATGTCTGGTGAAATACTGAGAACAGTTTATACTGCCGCAATAGAACCAGTTTTGACCTATGCATGTTCAGCTTGGGAGAAGGCTTTGGACCACCAAACAAAACGCAACAAACTACGATCTATCCAACGATCCTTTGCTCTTTCCATCATCAAAGGATACCGAACCATCTCTACCGAAGCATCACTTATCCTTGCTAATATTGATCCAATAGACTTGAAAATTAAATATTGCTCCGACCGCTACAAATTCAAAAAGCGTGTAATTACCGACAATCCTTCACTATTGAACATATCTTTTCAATTTCCAATCAAATTCGCCAGTCGACATCATCCAGCATATCGTACTAAATTTTCCAACGAGAACTGTAGCTACAACCACATTTTCAACGTCTTCACAGACGGTTCCAAAATAGATGGACAAACCGGATGTGCCTTCGTCGCATACAAGGACAATCATATCGTACACAAGAAACAACAGAGATTAGCAAACGGTTGCACCGTTTTTCAAGCAGAACTTCTAGCCATTCATCTGGCAGTTGTATGGATATTGAAACAACAGCGAGAAGCTATCATATGTAGTGATTCAGAATCAGCACTTAAAGCAATTGAATGTCGTGACACCTCAAATTCTATGGCCATCGAGATCCGTTCCCTTCTTCAGTCATCTAATCATCATATCTGCCTCAAATGGGTCAAAGCTCACATTGGCATTGAAGGCAATGAAAAAGCTGACACCTTGGCCAAGGAAGCAAGCCAGATAGAAAACATCTCATTTGACTTGCTCCCATTGTCGTATGCTATGAGGATCATCAGGGCCGAAATGGACGAAGGTTGGAACAACGAATGGAGTCTCACGAGCAAGGGCCGGACAACTGCTGCATTCTTCCCTTCCGTCCGAAGCAGAAAACAGTGCAGATTCATCCCAACATATGGCCAAACGCAACTCCTGTCTGGACACGGGAAATTCGCTTCGTACCTGGAAAGATTCAAAATACTGGAAAGCGACGTCTGCTGGTGCGGCCAAAGCCAAACCGCAGAACACCTATTGTTGGACTGTCCAGCCACAGCAGGCGAAAGAACATTGTTCGAATACCGGATTGGCGGAAGGCTCGAAAATCTCAATATCTCCAAGAAGGATCTGGCGTTCTGGATGGACTTCCTTCAATCCATCTATAATACAATTTCTTAATCCATATATCTTATTTTTCTTTCTCTTTTTTCTCTTTCATTATTTTTTTTATTATTATTATTTTCTTTGTCAATCTGTAAATATTTTCAATTACTTTTTAAAACCCCTTGTTTAGATATTTAGTTCTTGGGGTTATTTCAAAAAAATAAAATTCAATTCAATGCATTTTTTTCAAAATATTGATAGAATGAAAAAAATTTGCTTATATTTAAAAAAATGTTTATCTTATTTCTCCAATTGGACATTTTCTTTGGGTTAGAGGGTAGCAAACAAATACTTATTTATCGAAATTTGACTATCTAAACAAACAAAAGGTCATTGGCGATCAATTTTTTTCAAAGAGATTGATTCTGATTCTGATCCAATTCAGAGACTATAAAGAGACAAATCGATAATAATGGTCAAGATATATTCGATATAAGAAAGATGGTTAACTTGATTCATTAAACAAACAAGCATTTATAAACAAACAGAAAATAATACAATAATAACAACAATCATAGTTTACATGATAGAAAAATGACCATTGCTAATAAGATAGCAATGTTCGATGATAAATATGTTCGAACACATGTTCAACATGTCTATTCAACAAGATTTAAACCATCAATTAATTGTTATTATTATAGTGTTGAAATGGCCATATTATAAACAATCAATCAATCAATCAGAATCAATTTCTTGTTGAACATAGACATATGCCGCACATATGCGATTGATCTAATTTATTTATCATCGAACATTGATATCATGACCATTATTTATCCTCGATTTGTCTCTGAATTATATCAATTCATCAATGGTTGTTCTAACTTGGTTGATTGATTGGTTGCCTCTAATATTGGTGTACCAAAAAAAAAAAAAAAAAAAAAAAAAAAAAAAAAAAAAAAAATAGCCGTTAAGCTATCATATGTCATCTAGAATCTGATAAATCGAAATGTTTACGTTATTAAATGTTTACATGAAAAAAAAGAAATTTATTCATTTGATACGTTTTTTTTCGATTCTTTTTNAAATCGTTTTTTATCAAAAGTATCATCGATGGAAAATTTTGATGATAACTCAACAAAACCTTAATAAATTCCCTATAAATTCACCATAAACATCATACCTAATATCCTCATACTTTTTGAATGATATCGAAAAAAAACTCATCAGGGACTTATCAAACGCCCTGTAGAATCTGATAAATCGAAATGTTTACGTTATTAAATGTTTACATGAAAAAAAAGAAATTTATTCATTTGATACGTTTTTTTTCGATTCTTTTTTTTCAAAATGTTGATAGAATGAAAAAAATTTGCTTATTTTTTTAAGAATGTTTATCTTATTTCTCCAATTGGACATTTTCTTTGGGTTAGGAGGTAGCAAACAAATATTAATTTATCGAAATTTGACTATCTAAACAAACAAAAGGTCATTGGCGATCGATTTTTTTCAAACACAGAATACATTTAAAAAAATGTTTATATTATTTCTTCGATTGGACATTTTCTTTGGGTTAGGGGGTATTACAAATATTTCTCTATCGAAATTTTAGCTCAATATTTGTCTGTGTTTGATATTTCTAAATTATAATTAATTATTATTTTGTCAAAAATAATAATTAAATTATTTTAAAATTTCATTCTTGGTTTTTAGTTTTTTTTTATTCTAAAATTTAATTAAAATATAAGTCTTTCTTTTTTGCTTATAAATTTCTTGTTTTGATTACATAATTTTTATTCGGAAAAAAAACTAAGTAAAGTAAAGTGTAAAGTAAAGCAAAATGATGCAACAAGCTACAATTATTGATAATGATGATAATATTGTTGTTCATGATTCAGATGATGAAGGTGATAATAATAACATTGAAACAGCAGCAGCATCATCGACAACAACAAAAAATTTGAATGAAAATAAATTCAAACAACGTCTGTCAACAACAACAACAGAAACAGAAACAGCAGTGACCGATGATTTCAATGATGATGCTGTTGATAAATTGGATAAAGAAGTTGCGAATGACAAACAACAACAACAACAAAGTTGTTTCGATAAATTTATTGATGATGATGAAGATGATGAATCAATATCAACATCATCATCATTAAAATCTTCAATGAAAACTATGAGTGTTTCATTATCATCCACATTATCCGAAGCATCCAACAACACATTGTCGTTAACAAACGAAAAAAGTTTTAAAGAAAAAATTCTTTCAACAACAAAAAATTCCGACTCAAATTCAAAAGAAGAACTAAGTCTTCAATCACATAGTTTAAAATCATTATCATTATTATCATCATTATCATCAGCAATTAATTCAACCAAATCATTTAGTATTGATGCTGATGAAGATGATGATAATAATCAAATCAATGATTCTAGTCCAAATATTATTCGATTAAATGGAAAATCAATCGAAATTACTAATAATCGTATTACAAGAACTAAATTAAATACTGTTACTATTGCTAATGCTGCTGCTTGTATAGATGAAAAATTGTTCAAATTAAATCGATCAAATATTAATGATGATTCGGCAAAGATCAAGGATAACGATTCTTCTTATGATGAAATCTCCAAATCATCTTGTCGTTGTTGTTTGGAAAACGATTATAATGATGATAATGATTATAATAGCGAAAAAATGATAAATTGTGGTAGTATTGAATATTTGGATGGTTTAACATCATTATTGATTAATAATGATTATAATATTAAAACAATATTGACTATTGGTTTTCAATTTATTATTTCCATTGTATTATGGGAATCAATGAAATTATTATGAAAATGTGTGTATGGGGGTGCGGTATTTTCATAATAAATTTTTCATGATAAAAAAAGAACAAGAAAAAAGTTCGGTGTATTTTGTTTCTGTGTTTTTCAAATGAAATAAATATTCTTATTTTCTTTTCAGCAGTTCGCTTTTGTGGGTTTTGTTCTATTTTGCATATTGTTAATATAAGAATTGTGCAATATTTTTTCACTCTCTCTTCTAATTGATTTGTTTGTTTGTTTGTTTATTTGCGAATTGTCTATTCTCTGTTCGTGTGGCATATGTGTTTTCAAGGTCAACTGATAATCCTTTTTGGAGATTATATAGGATAATCAAAATAATAGATGAAAGAAAAAGAAAATTTTATTCTTTAATTTTCTTTTATCATTATCGACGATGACTAATCTTTATAATCGTTTTCTTTTTTGTTTTGTTTTGTTTGCATTCAAATTGAAAGAAGAAAAGAAAAGAAAAAAAATCCTTAATGAATTTTTCGATTTAAGTTAGACAGTGATGAGATATACCAAAAAAAAAGAAAAAGAACCTTCGGTTTTCAATTAACGAATCCAATACCAGAGATAAATCGAAACAAAATACCTTTCAGGTTTTTTTTTGCAATCAAAAAAAAAAAAGATTATCGAAGCTTGGATCATATGATCATATTTCATTAAAATAATACTCATTTTATAACAATGAAACAGAATTCTTACATAATTCTTTTTTCCTCAAGTAAATATATTTACAATGAAATTTTATTTTGTTCAAAGTTTTTTTTTTGCCATTTAAATTCAAAAGGCTCAATCCTCCTACTACAATTATTATTATGGTTATAAATTCTTAATTTTTTTTATTTAATTATTAATTATTAAGCAAATTTATTATTCAATTCAAATTATAATGATGATAATGATCAATTCAATTCAATAATGATTATTATGATGATGATACGAATCAGAATGAGGAATGAGGTCGGTTGTGTGTGTGTGTGTGTTCACAAGTTGTTTGAAATAAATTTCTTTTTTTCTTTATATAAACTATATATATGGTGTAATGTGAATGGTGATATCTGATGATTTGATGATGATGGTGATAATGATATCCATCATATGACTAAATATTTTTCTCTGTGTGTCTGTGTGATGTGTGGTGTTTGTTTGCGATGTGTGTTTGAAGAAAAAAAAATGAGAACGAAGAAAGCAATGATTTGGAAGACTTGTGATTGATGATTGATATAGGATGGATTGGATTTTATGCAGACAGGCAGGCAGGATTTTTAGTTTGATATTTAATCTTGTACAATCATCATTGGTTCATCATCATCATCAATATTATTATGATTATGTAATTGGTCATTAGTTTTGTTACATTTCGATGAGGATGCGGATACAGATGAGGCATGATCATGAGTAACCATTCTATTTAATGTTGAATGATTATCATTGGATGATGATTCCATTGATACATTTGATGATGTGGATGTGGATGATGGAATGGTTTTTTTCTGTTTTTCTTCCATCATCAAACATTGTGCATAATTTGGACCAATTTTTTTCAATACAGCCGGATTTAAACTATGCGTACAAGCGGTTAAACATTCTGAACATAATGGACTTAATTGTCGTATTAATTTTAACATCCATAACAGCATTTGTTGGGCTAATTCTTCATCCTGATACATACATTCAAAATAACGTTTGAATAGATATAGATATTGAAAATATGTTAACCTAGTTCAAAAATTAATTAGAAAAAAACAATAATAATTAGTTTTAATTAATTTAATTAATTAAGCCGGAATTTTTTTCAATAACAGGTGTAATAACAATGAAATGATTGTCATTGAGATCAAAATTATCAAATCTATCATCCCCTTCAAACAAAAACAACAATAAAATGATTGAGGCTTTTCCAATCAATCAACCGACCAAACAAACAAACAAAATCCTTGATATTTATTTGTTTGTTTGTTTGTTTGGCTTATTGTTATTATTATTTCATATCGTTATTAGTGATGATCAAAATTGAAAAACAACAGAGTGAGGGATAAACTTACTTGTCACATTTAAATGGTGAATGTGGTCGATCAAATGCACTAAACAATAATAGATAAGTCATCTAAATTGGCCAAAAAAAAAACAGATAAAAATTTAGAAAAAAAATTGACAAAATCCAATGATCAAAGTCAAATCAAATCAAACCAAATCAATCAATCAACTTACCAAATTAAATACAGTTGGATCTTTACGCCATTCTTGTGGAAATGATTTGATATATTGTCGATGAGCGACAGACATTTCTTTTTTAATCGATTGTTGAAACATATCCAATTTGATCATTGTAAATCCATTATCGTTAACCTGATTTGTTCATCGTGCAAAAAATCAAATTCAATTCTTAAAAATTCTTTTTTAAAAAATAAGGAACATTTAAAACTTACACCATTGAAAATAGCCCATGCATTTAGATTATCATCAAAATTCTGTACACCACGTAAATGATACAACATATGTAATAAATTATTTTTCTTCTTAAAAAAACCGGATTCATTTTGACGAATCAATTCGGATATTTCGGATACACGCCAAAATTCTTCATATAATTTAAATGATTTATTTGCATAGAATATACCACGTTCTAAACTATTAAATATTGCACGAAATTGATCATTTGATTGTGGTTTTGCCGATATCATACGACACGATAAATTAAGTAAATCAATTTTTTCACGTTCTTTTGCAAATAATTTATGAAAATAATAATTATGTTGATCATGGTGATTAGGATTTGATTGATGATGTTGTTGATTATCAATCATTGTTGTTATATTTGTTATTGATGATAATATTGATGATGATGATGATGATGACGTTGATGCAGTTGTTGTATAATCAATACCCATATGTATACGTATATATGGTTTCCATTTTTCTAGATCAGCAATCAATGCATGATCTTGATCACCAAAATTTCTTGCTTCAACTTTACATAATTCAACCGATGCAATATTACTACGATTTTCATGATTATTATTACCATAATCATAATCATTATTATCATAATTAAAATTCTGTATTCTGTTCATCGATGTAGGCGTCAAATCATTTTCGGATATTAAATCATCATTCGTTGATGAAGGTTTAAGAATTTCATTATCATCTAAATAACTATTACTATTACTACCATTACTATGATCATTATGATGATATGTATTTGAATTGGCTGGCGTATAATAATATTTACAATAATTTTCTTCATAAAAATTATTATAATTATATCTTGTATGTTCATTTAATGATGATGATGATTGTACATGACTATAATTGAAAACATCATGTGTCATTTGTTCCAATGAATCTAAATCTTCTTCATCATCAACAACAATATCTATTAATGATCGATTCTGATTATTATTAAAAGGCACCAGCATCTTATTATTATTATCATATTTTTCATTGTTATTGATGTCTAAAAATAACAGGAAAAAGGAAAAAAAATTTTGTTTTCAAAAAAAAAAATCTGATTTAGAAATGGTCGAACAAAATTGTGCAAAAAAAACTTATAATTTAATTTACCTTCAGATTTTGATGTTGAAGGTTGTCGTTGTTGTTGCGAAAATGTAGCTGTATCATTATTATTATTATTATTAGCGGGAATCGATTGTGATATATCTTGAATTTCAATAACATCATCATTATCGTTTTCATTATCTAAATCTTCAGCCATTAAACTATCATCATTTGAATTTGAATTTGAATTAACATTATCGTTATTGTTATTGTTATTGTTGATAATTAAAGCTGCTGATGATGATGGTCTTGATGGTGGTGCTTGTTGTATAACCGAAACACTATTAAATAACGGTTGTTGTTGTCGTTGTTGTTGATGTGAAAGAAGTTGTATAATCGATTCAGAACGAATAGGCTGCTGCTGCTGTTGTAACATTGAATTCTTTTCCGTTGATTTATTACAGTCCACATTGATGAGATCATACGAATCTGAACGATGATTATGATTATGGTTGGCTAAATCTTTATTTTTGGCAAAGTTTTTTTTTGTTAAATGAAATCAAACTTATTTTTAAAAGGGGAAAAAACTTACAATTAAATTCATTTTGCAAGGTAGACTGGCCACTATTTGCAATCGATTCCATTGGTATTAGATTCGGTATATCATGATAATCATCCGAAGATATTTCATTGATTTCAATATCATCATCCTCATCATCATCATCACCACCTAAACTACTGCTACCTGCTTGTGATGAATTTTGATCATTAAATTCATGATTATGATGAGGATGATGATGGTGATAATTTTCATTGATATTGATAAGATGATTATGATTTGAAGGTGATGATTCCGATAGGCTACGATTAGGATTACGTAAAATTTTCATCGATGGTGATCCAATCGATAATGATTGTTGTTGCAGTTGCTTTTGTCGATTACGTTTTACACGCATACCCAGCCGTATACATTTATCTAAACGACATGCAGAACAATTTCGACGATTAGATTTATTAATCAAATCCATACAACGATTATGATTACGACATTGCAGTCGTTCCTGTAAATTTTCCGAACGAGAACAAAAAAAATTTATCAAAAAGAAAATTTCTGGAAAATTTCCACCATTCTTTTTTTATCTTTGAATTGATAAACATTCTGCAAAGTTTTTATGAAATTTTTTTTTTATCAAATCCTACAAAAGTCAATCAAAAATGTAAAGTTCTTTGAACTTTTTTTTCCAAATGATAATCATAAGGATGGAGAAACAAGAGACAAGAAAAATGTCAATATTATTATCCATATATATTGATTGTTTACTTGTTTTTTTCTCAAAAAAAAAATCCAGTCATATTTTTTTCTGGTGTATCGTATCAAAGTCTAATCAATTTTTTTTTATTTCGTTTCATTTTTTTCCATTTAGTTGGCGTATAGGACAATGTCCGAATATTGCAGATATTAGTTTTTTTTTTGTTGTTTATCTTGTAAATGCTTTAGCCAGAGAAAATGAAAAAAACTAATTTCTAGATGAAAAAGTTTTTTTCTGTTTCAATCGATCCATCATGACAATCAATTTTTTTTCATTGTTTGTTCTTTTCAAATATTGAAATTTCGTCACTGTCTCAATGATGATGATGATGAGCAATTTCATTTTGAAACTTTAAAAAAATTTCAAAAATCAATTCGTTTCAAAGTGACAATAAACGAAAACTCCTGGAAACAATTACCGGTTTTTCTTCTCCACTCAATTAAATTATCATTTTGACAACCACGGTTAGTAAAGTGAAAATCAATAAAAGAAAAATTAAACTGGTACACACATTTACATTGAAATGTCAATCAAAAAAGAAAAATTTTGCAGAACAAAAAAATCAATATCATTAAAAAAAGAATGAGAATTTCACCCATTTGAATCAAACAAACAACTAACCTTGGAATCAATATTACGGCTGAAAAATATTTTACACGAACCACATGTTACAACACCGAAATTTTTTCCTTTTTAATTTTTTTTAAGGTTGAAAAAAATCAATCAATTTAATTAATCGAAAAAAAACAATCCTAATTACCTATAGGAATATCACCACAAACTTTACATTGTTGTGGATGATTACTATTATGGTGGTTGTTTGATTTAGATTTTGTCATTGTCGACGAAGAAGAAGAAGATGATGATGATGAATCATTTCGGGTAATTTTTTTCGATTGACCATTTGTCATTTTTGTTAAAGATTTGATTGAATGTGAAATTGCCGTATGACGATTAGTCGGCGATTTTGACTGATGTTGTTGTTGATGAATTGGTGGTGGTGTACCAATAGTCGATATAACTGTTGATACAGGTGAATATGGTGATTGTTGATGAGGATTTGAATAACGAAATATCGTCTGATGAGGTATTTGACCGATTGTTGTTGTTGTTGTCGAGGTTGTTGTTGTTGTTGCGGCTGTTGTTGTTGTTGTTGTCGATGCTAAAATCGATGCTAATGAATGTGATGTTAATGATAATGGTGATTCTTTTAATAATGAATTAAATATCGAATGATGATGATTACTAAGTTGTGGAAATTGTTCTTGATTAATTATCGATTGATTTAAGCTTGAATATTGATTATTATGATTAAAATGATGATGATGAGCCATCAGAATCGTTTGATGATTGATTGGTGGATGATTTGATGATGATGATGAATAAGTAATATCATCATTTAAAAAATGTGGCATTATTAAATTTGAATTTGTAGCAGAAGCAGCTGCTATGTTGTGGTTAGCGCTGTTTGCGTTTGATAAATGCGCTACTTCCTCTAATAATTGTGAATGATGATGATGATGAGTAGCAGTTGATGGATGATGATGATTTGAAAACATCATATAATTTCCTTGATGATTATTATTATTATGTTGTTGTTGTTGAAGTTCTTCTTGAATTTTTTTCAAACTATTTCCTGTTGTCGTTGATGCAAATGATGGTGGTGGTGAAGATGTTGTCGATGTCGATGGATTGATATCATTATTATTATTAATAATAATGCTACCACCACCACCACCACCACCATCTAAATGTGGCAGTATCGATGATAATGATAATGGTGATGATGATGATGATGGTGATCGTAATGATAAATAAGTTGATGTTTGTGTTGATGATAATAATGGCAATGGTGAATCAATATTATCAATATTATTATTATTATTATTGAATGAAGATATGGTGGCCGTTACATTTTCATCATCATCATCATCACTTTGCTGTTGTTGTTTTCGTTGTTTATGATGATGATGTTGATGATGATGGTTATTATTTGATTTCATTGCTGTTATCTCAAGCATATTGTTGTCGATATTTGTTGTTGTCGATGTTGTTGTTGAAGAAGTTTTAATTGATGATAGGATTTCAAATGATTTTGATGGTGAATTCGTAGAAATTGTTATCAATGATGATGATGATGATGGTGATAATGGTGATAATGGTAGTGATGCAGGCGATGATATTGATGGTGATGTAGCATAAAATATTAATCCACCATTATGTTGATAATGATTATGGCCATTTGTTGTTGTCGTTTGTGTTGTTGTTGTTGTTGATGATGATGGAAAATAATATGGATGATAATATTCTGGATGTTGTCGATGATGAGATTGATGGTGATGATGATGATGATTCGAAGAATAAGAAGATTTCATCATCATCATTAAAAGAATAATTGTTTCCGAAAAATTTCTTTGAAAAACAAAAAACAGCTAAAAATTTTCAACACGATAATGATTATTGTGGAACACGAGATAAACAAACATAAAACAAACGAACGATAATGTAGCCAATCACAATTTTGGTTGTTCAATTTTCAAATCAAATTGAAAATTTATTCATTTCAAAAAAGCCGATTTTAATCCGACAGTTGGATGTTCAAAGTTTTTCAAACTAAAAACAAAAAAAGTAAAAAAAAATGGGAACAATTTAGATAAATAATACTACGAATTAGTTTTTTAATTTACAATGAATTTTCGTTTGTTTTCGTTTTTTTTCGTTTTCCATAGAAAAACTAAAACTAAAAAAACAAAACAAACGGAAATCTACCGGAAATTTAATGGAATATAATCATCGAACACACACATAGGGTATTTGTAAAAAAAGCTCATTTTTTTGGTGATGTGCGATTTGCGATCATCATAACACAAGCCAGAAATCTAGTTTTCACATAAGCCACCACCGTCGCACAGCAAACGAAAATAAACGAAAATTTTTTTTCTTTTTGGTAATCAATGTGATACAAACAAACAAACAAAAAAACAAAGATAAATACGAAACACGAAATGCAAAAATATTCAACGTTTCAAAAAATATCTAATCAGAATCTAATTATATCAGGCAGAAAAATAAAAAACAAAAAAAAACCTATTTTAAGTTCAAAATAATTATCAATCAATCAACATCATTTTTGGGTACTTGATGACCGAGAAATAATTATTATTATTATATAAAGCAAAAAAAAATATATTTGATAAATATCGATTATCCGTTATCGATCGTTGTTTGATAAAAACTAAACTAAACTTACTACCTAAACTAAACGTGAGAAATGAATGAGATTGGAAAAAAAGTGGAAAAACAAAGCAAAATAAATAGATTTCAGAATAGATTCTGTTTTTTGGTTTTTTGTTGATTGAGAAAAACAAAAGAATATTCTTTTGATATAGATTTCTATTATCAAGAAAGCGATGAGTGAACGCGAGAGACTGAAAGAGGGAAAGATTAAATCAGTAACGGCAACAATTGCAATTTCTCATTATATTTGTAATTTTTTTAACAGAATATTTATCCCTGTTTTATAAACATGTCAATAACAGAATCAGTCCATTCAGTGATTATCAACATTGAAAAAATTTTCTGAAAATAAGTTTGAAAATGTTTTCAATTGAGATTGTTTTTGGATGAAAAGAAACTAATCAAGTTGTTGTTGTTTTTGTCGCTCAGATTCAATCAAATTTTTTTCTGGTCAAATTTCTAATGAAATGATTTTTTTAAGGAAAAATCGAGAGAATCTAAAACAAACACAAACAAATTTGATTGATTCACTTAGTTAGTCAGTTGGTATGTTTCTGAACAACAAAATGATTAAAGAAAATTCACAAATGACATAACATGCCTTTTCTTTGATTGATTCAAAATGACAAAGTTTTTCTTTAAAATAAATAAACTCTTATGAAAAATGTTAGGTGTAAAACGGTCAAATTATTTATTTATAAATATTATCCTTTCTTAATTTCATCGAGAGAATTGAAATGAATTTCTTCTTCTTCTTTTTCTGCAAAAAAAAGCTTTTAATTTTTAATTTTTTTTCATAATTTGATCGATAACTTTGATGATGATGAAAATGGTTGTCATAGAAGTCATAAGTGAAAGAAAGAAGAAATTAAGGTTAATCAAGGTTTTTCAAATTTTTTCAAAAAATAAAATTCTTGACATGTGATTCAATTATGACGATAAACATAATGGAACTCCTGAACAACGAAAACAAAATTTTCAAGTAAAAGAATGGCAGAAAACATTCAATGAATGAATGAATGAATGGAATTGAAACGTTCAAGTGCAAAATCCAAAATCAAATAATAATAATAATAATCGAAAAAAAAGATACAAAAAGATACAAAAAGAAAGAACTAATAATAATAATAATTGAAAAAACACATTCTTCTCTAATAACAGGCAGCCAATAATTAATAATGAAAACGTGTGTAATAGAAAAAAAAGTAGCAAAAATTCTGCAGAATAGAATCCAGAATATTGCTACCTTTGTGTTTAATTGTTATCAAAGAATAAACTAGGTAGAATCACGCCATTATCAGGATTTACAGTAACAGAAGCCGAACAGAAATTCATTTCGCATGAATTTTTTTTTCTTTTTTTTCCTCATTGCCAAACAACATCAGCAACAACAAAACGGTAAAAATCACTCGAATCAATCAATCAATCAATCATTCAACAATTCAAACAACAACCTTACTTAACAGAAGCCTATATTTGGATATTTTTAGCGCTTTCATTCATAATTAAATCAACTGTATAGCAAAAAGTTTTCAACAAAAAAAAAAAATGAAAAAATTATTCTGGAAATTCAAAGAATTTATTATTATTATAATTATTCTGGAAACTTTCCCCATTCTCCCCCCTCTCATCTTTTTTTCATTCGAAAAAACAAACACCTAACATTGTAAACGTAATTATTATTTAAACAAAGTTTTCATTTTACCACAAAAAAAAACCGTTAAACAAAAAACACTAAACGTTGGTGGTGAATTCACCTTCACATTTGTCATAGGTTTTCTTTCTTTCGTTACGTTTGTTTTTTGTTTGAAAAAGAATAATAATGATTTTCATTTGAAGAAAGCAAAAACCAAGTTGAAAAGTTGACATTTGAATGATTTTCTTTCTTTCTTTTCATTTCCTAAGAAATTTAACCAAAAAAGAAAAAGATTTCTGAGAACATTCCGAAGAAATGGAGAATTTCATTTTCTTTTTCATTCTTCGCATATTAATAAATTCATTCGGAAATTTTTTTGTTTCTACTGCATGGTATTTTTTCGCATTGATTAATTAAAATAACGAGGTGGGAGCGAGAGTGGATGTGGAGCGGGGGGTGGAAGGGTTGAAATACTTTACTTTGTCTTTGATAGTGAATTGAAACAAAAAAGGATTTATTTCAATTAATTAAAGTTGTCGAAACAAAATTGGAAAATTCAATTCAGAAACCTTGGAACTTCATTTTGGAAGAAAAAAAATCAAACAATTTAATTTTTCGAAAGGAAAGAAAAAAGGAAAAAATTTAATGAACGAATGGAAAATTAAAGGGAAAAAAGCAAATTCAAAATTCCAAAGAAAATTCTGAATCCAAAAACAGAATTTCAAGATAATAAAATTTGGGTTTTTGTTTTCATTGGAAAGGAATATCATCATCATCATCATCATTAACAACAAATCAAGAAACAAGATTGATTGATTGATCCAATCGATTGATTTGAAAAAATTACGAAATCGAAATCGATTGATTTTTTTCAAACGAAACAACAAAAAAAACGCAAAACTCAAAATCAGAATTTTTGGTTCATGTTTTTTGCAAAATAAATTGGATTCCGGTGTTTGGTTTTTATTTGAAATTCATTCATTATTTAATTATCATCATCATCATTTGTTTTTCAAGGTTTCAAGGTTTCTCTAATCAACACCACAGTGTAATGACTTTTTTTTTGGTTTCTCCATTCAGAATAACAACAAAAAACAAAAGAAAATTCAATTTATCATTTATCGAATGAAAGAAATGAAAAGAAAAAAGCCAGAAAATGATATTCTTGTTTGATGAAACTTGTTTTTTTTTGCTTTCTTTTTCTTTTTCTTAATTCTTAATATGGAAGAATTGCGAATGAATTTTTTCATTCAAAGCGAAAAAAGGCTTAGCGAAAAACAGGTCCTTGATGTGATGGGATATCAAGGTCGGATAATCGCAAAGCAAAAAAAAAACAAGCAGGCAAGCCGGTAGGCTTTTACTTTTTCAAAGCCAGCAAACAAACAAGCAACAAGCAAGTAAACTTGCTTGGCAACAAGCGAATAAAAAAGCATCAACTATGTCAGAACTAATCAATCCAATCAATCAAAATTCAAAATTGAATTCTTTTTCTTTTTTCTTTTTTGCATCAATGATATAATCTTTAAAGAAAATCTAACCTCAGTAAAAAACAAAAACAATAACAAAAAATATCTTAAAGCAAAATGAAAAAAAATCGATACAATGTTTATGTTGTGTGTGTGTTTGTTTGTTTTTCCTCAACGAAAAAAAAATATCAAGAAAATCAGGAGAAATCAAATTTCCCTCTCTTTTTTCTTTAAAATTTACTTTTGAAAATTTTTTATTTTTATTTTTATATGTTTTCGGGTTTAAACTGTTTTTCGGATTTTTTTTGTTGTTGTTTTGTTCCAGAAACCTGTCAACGAAACGGAAAATTCAAAGTAAATTAATCAAAGTAAATATTGAACTTGTCGTTTTCATCGCTTTTTATGATTTGTTTGCTTGCTTGCTTGCACCGGATATAAGATTGATGTTTGTTTGGTTTGGTTTTTTTTCCGATCTTTAAAAAAAATTTTTTTGGGGAAAAAAATGTAGGCGTTTGTTTGAGCAACTAACAAAAGCAGCTAAAAACAGCAACAATCTGACCGTTTATTTTCCTTTTTACAAGGTTTCTTTTTAAGGAAATGAAAATAACATCGAAAATCAAAAATTTCAAATTGAAACAAAAACAAGAAAGCAAATAAATAGGAAAACAAAAATGAAATTTGAATCGAAAATGCTAATCTCACGATAATAATCGATTGTATTTGATCGATATAATCGATTAATACGATTTAGAGATTGAATGGAGAAAAAAATACATACATACATTTGTTGTTGTCGCTGTTGCTGTTACTGATAACAATGTATATTCGCTATCATTTATTGATTAATTTATATTGATTGATTGATTGATTTAAGAAAGTAGGCGAAGCAAGATGATGATAATTAAGGATTAATAATTAATTAACACAAAACATGCGCACCCTTTATTGTAAAAAAAATGAAATCAACTGACCTTGTCAGAATTCTGATGATGTCATTATCATTTTAGTTATTTTTGTTTTTCAAAAATATCGGGTGATTGATTTTTGAAATTCCCGTTAGCATTTTTTTTTTTTTTGTAGAGGGGGTGATTTAATTCGATTTGATGTGGATGACTTGACAGAAAAAAAATTCTTGTTTTTTAATTTCTCTCTCCCTAAAAACACACACTTGATTGAAGCAAAGAAAAAAAAGAAAAACTGGAAAAATTCTTTTAAGGCGCAAAAAAACACTGAATGAAAATGAAATGTTGAATGCTTTGGGGAGAAATTCAATATTTTCTTTTTTTTGCACTATAACTTCATTGATTCATTCATTCAAGTGAAAAGACAAAAACAAAAACAAGTTGGCGCCGAATCCACTATAATTCTTTTCATTTCGTTTTTTCTTGGTGTTCAATTAATTGAATGTGAAAGTTTTTTTTTTGCCATTCATTTCATTTCATTCATTCAACACTGACCACTATCCAAAAATTGACTACGAAAAAAGTGTTGATAGACATAATGTTGATCGATGATGATGATGATGAATGGATGGATGGACAAAGGATATTGTTGGTTAAATTGGATATGGAAAAAAAATTGACAAAATTCAACGGGGAAATATTTCCCGTAAACAAAATTTCGGAAAACTTTTTTTTCCTCTCTCACCTTTATTGTGATATGATCCAAAAAATCGATAATTCCTTGATCAGAATAATAAAAACCATAATCAAATTGAACTTTATGGTGAATTTATTGTTTTGTTTTTGTTTTTGTTTTTCATTCACAGAAAAAAAGCGGAGAGAGAGAAACAAACTGTGCACAGTGGTTGGATTTTATTGATGCTTATTATTCATTAACACACTCGCAAAAAAACAAACACAACAACATCATCTCTAACGAGAAAAACAAGTGAAAAAAAGAAGAAAAAATTTAGTGAAAAAATTTTTTTCAAAACTAGAAAACTACCACCACGATACACACACACAAACACAAGATGCAAACACATACACGTACACCAAAAAAACAAACTAAAATGGATTGGATGATCCTATCGACAATCAAACCAAACAAACCAAACAACAAAAAAAAATTGGATACTTATAATGAAAAAAAAACGCTAAAAAGATATCATCATTGTCGTTTTAGCTGTTGCTGCCGCTGCTGCTGGTTGTTGCTGCACATCATCATCATCATCATCATCATCACGAGTATTTTCAATTCAATTTTTGTCTTCTTCATCATCATCATCATCATCAATCCTAATCAACAACATCATCAGATAGAATCACTTATATATCATCTTCGCTATCATCCTATCATTATTGGAGTTTTTAAATATGCGCGCAAGCGCTATTTGATAATGGCGCCCGGCGTTATAAAATTGATTCAATGTTTTTTTTCTTTTCACTTTCTTTTTTTTTTGCAGAGTGATGGATGAATGGATTCTGAATTCAAACAACAACAACAAACAAACAAACGAGAAAAACCTGTGTGTGTGTTTAGAAGATCATTACAGTAGAGAGAGAGAGAGAGAGAGAGAGAGAGAGAGAGAGAGAATGCAGAAGCAAAACAAACAGAAATTTTTTTTTTCCCTTCGGTTGACTTTCGGAATTGAATGAAAAAAAGAATGACAGATTTGTTGCATTAACAAATTCTTTGATTCTTGACGAAGAAGAATTTTCCTTAATTCTGTTGATCTTTTTAAAGAATGATATTTTTGTAAAAAACAGCGAAATAAGCAGCAGTAGACGTCATAGGTTTTATTTTTGGTTACTCTTCGGTAAAGTGATGATGTCAAAAATGCCATTGATTGATGGATAATGTTGTTGGTTTGATGATGATTTAAAAATTTTCTCCTCTATTGTCACACACACAGATTACGATCATATTGATTTCAAAAAAAAAAGTAAAAGCAAAAAGATAAAACCAGTGAAAAATCAGAAAAATCAATTAGACAATTGGTCGACATCCTTGATCGATCAAATTGATTAAATCAATCAATCGATTTGATTTGATTGCAATTAACCTTGATAACCCATAAAAATCGTTGATGATAACTTCAAGAATTTCTGCTTTTCAGATATTCATTCATACATTTCATTCATGAATTTCAAAAAGCTAAAATCAAACATCGAAAAGTCATTGACATTGTGGAAATTAGCAGCAGCAGCAGAAAGTTTTCCGTTGTTTGTTTGTTTTTGTAAATTATCATCATCATCAGAATAATGACAGACAAAAACAAAAACAAAAATTTGTCGTCCATCATTCAATCAATCAATCAAACGAAAAAACGAAGAGATTCAAGTTGGACAAACAAACAGAAACTTCAACAGAAGCTTCCGTCCATCTTTCATTCTGTAAATATTTTTTATCAAAATTTTGGCCAGAAAAATGTTGCTGATAAGAAATTAGAGGATTTTTTTTTTGTGGAGAAAAATCATAGAGGGCGCAAAAATCAATGACCCAGAAATTGAATGTTTTTTCTCTTGTGTTAAATGAAAACATCTTTTTTTTACCGAAACATTATCGATTCGAAAAAAAAAGAGTAAAGAAATTGAGCTAAGTAAAGATTTGGTTACATTTGAATTTTTGATGAACAACAACAGATATGGTTGGAAAAAAAGATGATTTTTTAAATTTAATTTTTTGTCCAATCAATCGATCGATCGATCGATCGATCGATAATTATTCAATGACGCATTCATGTTTCCATTATCGATTTGCCAGTGAAAAAAAAATTTCAATGAAAATTTGAATTTAAAAAAAAAATCAAAATCAAAAATTGATGATTGAATAATCATTGATTGATTGGAAAAAAGAATAAATAGTTAATAGTGAGAAAGGAAATGATTATTGAAAATTGATTGGTTCATTCATTTTGATTTTTTTCTCTTAAAAATTTTCAAAATCAATAAATCAATCGATCGATCGATTGGATTCAATGATCAACAGGAGGAACAACTAATCAATTTTTTTTTTTTTTGAATGTAAAAGAAGAAAATTCCTTACCATTTCTTTTCTGTTGATGAAGAAACGATTGTCCAGAATGAAATTTTCCAGTAATTTTCTTGTTTTGACAAGTTTTTCTTGCTTTTTTTGGTTAAATTCAGAATTTTTTCTTGAACATTCGACAAGTGGTGGTGGTGGCGATGATGTAATTCTGTTCGATCCATCTTTATTCTCTCGATTCTTTAGGCTGTTGTCGTGGTTGTTATCAATTGTTCGGGAGCATTAAAAAAATGTCGAAATGATTGATGGATGTGAACCGAAAATTATCAACAACAAAAAAAAAATCAAAAAAAAAAATTATTTTCTGTAATCCCTTTTTCAACGAGTACCACGCGCCATCTGTTGATGACAATCAAAAATGAAAAGTCCTTGAATTTTTCAATATTTTTTTTGTTTGATAAAAAAATGTTATCAATCGATCAATCGATTGATCGATTTCGTTTGTTGTTGTTGTTGTTGTTAAAAATCCATTCATTTAAACTTTAATGATTTTTCAAAGAAAAAAAAACAAGAATTTCTCTATATTTTTATTATGATAATATTCTCTCTATATTTTCATTTTTATAATTAATAAAATTATAATGATTATAATGAATCAAACGAAATTTATAACAATGATGACAAATGATAATGTAATTTGACAACGCTAATAACAATAATTATTATTTTTTTCAAAATGTTTTGCGTTTGTGTGTGTATTGAGTATGTAGGTGGGTGTGAAAACAAACAAACAAACAAACAGAAAATCTTTTTTAAATAATAAAAAACAAAACCAAATTGGAAAATTATCATTATCAGTGTGGAAATAGAAGACTACTAAAAGATATCAATATGATAAATAACAACAAACATACACACAAAACAAAACATAAAACAAAATACAAATCAAAAATAAAATAATCCTATAATCAAAACAAAATTTAATATAATTATAGAAATTATTATTAATTATAATTATCATCATTAGTTTTATAAAATGGAATTATGATTTTGGTTTCAATTATTATCTATTAGCTGTTGTTGTTGTTTTGAATTGGAATTGTTTTTTGCTTTTGCTTCCTTCGATTGATAATTTGAATTCGATTTTTGTTTCCCATATTTATTTAAGATCCGGTTCATTTTCAATATTTTGTTTGATACGTAATAAAAGATTTGTATACCATGAATCTAATGGTGAAATTGAATCATAATCCTGAATGGCTTGTGTAAAACCTTCTGAATCATTTTCTTCCAATTTATTGATTAATGTTTGCAGAAATTTACATTCACGTGATTCAATAAAATGTGGAAAACAATCTTGATATTTTTTCAATGCATTTTCAGCATTCAAAACATCAACACACATATGACATAATGTTGCACGAAAATAATGTTCTTTAGCTGAATATTTTAACAATGGTGATTCAATACAAGTACCAGCAACTTGTTCATAAATTTCAGCCGACTATCATTGAAAGAAATTGCATTGAAAAAACAATCCAAAATCAAAATATAACCCGTCAAACCTTTTGAAAATCTCCTTTAAGTGCTGAATATTGTGCCACCTTCAATAGACAACGATTAGCACTAACTTTTGATTCTTCACCTTGATAATAATCAGCTGCCGTTTGATAATGTAGTACAGTTTTATCAAAATCAACTAATTCTGATTCATAAATTTCAGCAATCGATATATGATGTTTGGCAGCGGTTGTAAATCTTCCCATATCTTGATATAATTCTATTGTTTTTTCCAAACAACGTATCGATTGATTTGGATCAACTTTTTTAAAACAATTAGCTGCATCAACAAACAATGTACCAGCATCATGTTTGTTATTCTGTTTCAAATGTAATTGTGCTGCTTCAATGAATGCATTTCCAGCCTCTATTATAATAACATTTTTAGTCAAATAAAATTACACACAAGTTACAAATAAACAAATTACCTCCCCATTTTTTAGCCATTTTAAATGAATTAGCAGCACGTACATATAAATCGATTGCTTCATCGATTCTGGAACCACCACTATTTGTGAGGTATCAATTGAAATTTTAAAATTTTTTAGTTTTCGAAAATTCACATTTTGAACAAGACACACAAACATACCCAAAAAATGATGATAAAAATCCTTGTGAATTTTTCAATTTTTTTTGCGCTTCTTCCAAAAATTGTACACCTTTTTGTCCTTGATCGCCCATATTTTTCTGATTTTTCTGATTGATTTGACTTGATTTGATTCGATTGATTGATTTTAAGAGGAATTTCTAAAAAGATTTCAAAAGATGAAAGTCACCAAAAAAGAAATTATTATTTGTTGTTGTTGTTTTTGCATCACAACATAATAATGATTTAACACATCGGTCCACAATTATTGACGTTACTCAATAAACATTACCACTACTACTGCTACTATGTTTGTTTGTTTTTTTGTGAGAAAAATTGACAAGATAAATATATATGCGCTGTTCGATTTACCACTACTTTTTTGCTATCATTCATAAATAACGTTTTGTTTAAAAATTGTAATTTCATTTATGAGCATCAAAAAATGTTGCACACTTCTTACGTAAGTCCGTTAAATGAGAAATCGAAAAAAAAGATTCGATTTTTCGCCAAAAAAAAAAAGATTCGATTTTTTCGAAACGTGATTCACTTCGTATCGCACAGTCAAGATATCGATTTCGATTTTTTTCGTGCTTGAACATATTCTAATTTCGACTGTTCGAAAAACAAACATATCATCCTTTCAATCTATTCGATAACTAACAAAAATATTTTCCATAGTTTCAATCCACTTGTCATTAATTTATTACCACGTAATTAAAGTTTCGGTTTAAAGCAATCAATGATATAACTTTTGCTTCGACAACAATTCTGAAAAACGTTATCTTAATCCAATGTAAATCTAAATATGTAATGTGCCATAAATTGCTGGATACATATCCACTATTGCGGTTATGATTGAACTGATTGAAAAAATATAAAATTTCTACAAATTCGCAATTAACCCTTTTTACAGTAAATTTGAGTCTTGAAAAATTATTTATCAATCAAAACGTTGAACTTATCCGTTAAGTTTTATAATTGGCGGTTCGGTATGATTTTTCTAAATACCTTGGACATGAAAAGATATTCAAGAAATACTTGCAGATGAATTTATGGTAATTTTTTGATTAATTTATTCAACAATTTTTATCAATTTTTTAATTTTCGATTTTCAATTTCTTTTTTCTCTAAACAGGTTGAGAAAATACGCAACAAAAAAAAAAATGCTGTAAGAGGAAACCACATCAACCAAAATGATGTTTACTATTACTTTATTCAGTGATTGCTACCCTCAGGACAGTCCACTCTCACCTATACTATGGAACATCGCACTTAACCCAATACTTTATTCTGTTAACATCGAAAACATTCAGTGATTGAATTTGAAAATTCAATCAACAAAATTCTAATCAAAAGAAAGTCTGATGGTTTTCTTTTTCAAGAAGATTTGGATATTTTTTTAATTTTCAATTTTGGAAAAATAAACATTTTTTGTTTCATCAATTTTTAAAAATTCAATTAAATTTTATAAATTTTTTCATTTTGAATCAATTTGGTGCCATTTTTATCATCATTATCGACAATATCTTCAATTGGTTCAATGATTGACTGTTTATCATCATTATTATCATCATCTTGAATATTTAATTTATGAATTTTATTCATCATTACTTGTTGAATATGATTCAGTTGTTGTTGTTGTTGTTGTTGTTGATTTGGTTGTTCATCATTCATTATTCGTTTATTATCCATACTATTCATTTGATTATTCGCATTACCATTACCATTATTATTTTCATGATAAATTTTTATTTCATCAACAACATCATTATAGCTACGTAATTTAACAATAGCAGCACGAATTAAATCATCAGATGGATCATCATCATCATTATGTGGACTGTTTGATGTTTTTGTTACATTAATTTTTACTGATTTCGGTTCTTGCTGTTGCTGTTGATTTTCATCACCATTATTCTGATCATTATCATTATCGTTATTCGTCGATGATGATGATGGTTTTTCCATTATTGTTGGTCGAATATTTTGTGGTAAAATTTCATTATAAACATTTTCATTTTGATTACTGTTCGATGCTATTTGAAATGATACATTTAGTTGAATATTTGCCGGTTGACCACGTTGATGATCATGATATTCCAAAGCACGTTGTGGTAGAATATCACGAAAAACATTGAAAAAATTTGTCAATTCTAGAATACGAAGATTTTGTAGACCAAACATTGCTGCTTTTTTTCTTGCTATACGTTTACTAAAACCATCACCATTAGCTAAATGTTTACCATTAACTTTAACCGAACATAAATAATGTTTATGACGATAAACATTATTTTCTAATATTATTGATTGCCTTGATTCAATACGATAAATTGGTTTTTCATAACCTTTTGATTTACAATATGATTTTAATGCATTTTCGGAATTTGTTACGTTCATCATCATTATTAATCGATTTGATTTGAGAACAAAAAATCAGGTAGAAAACATGAATTTAACAACAACTTGAAATGCAGAGAAAGAAAGAAAAAATCAGCAATGTTGACGATCAATCAATCAATCGACGAAAAAAACGACGCAAAATATTATCGAAAATTTTGTCGATCAAAGTCGAATATTTTTCAATTTAGTGCCATATTTCGTTCTGTAATCGAATCGAAATACAAATAAAATTGATTGATCAATTGATTGAAGTGAAATACAAGATGATATTAGGATAAATAATGATGATGATGATGGTGAAATAAACAAAACGAAATTATGTTTGCTTCATCAACAGAAAACAAAATCCTTATCAAACTGAAAATTAAATTTTTGGCTTCCACAATGAATTCTTTTTCATCAATCATTTTTAATCAACAATAATGTGTGTGTGAAATTCATTTATCTACAACCAAAAAAAATTACTTGGTATTTTTCTTGAAAAATTTCATCTTTTGACAAAATGAAAAAAAAAAATCATTTTTTGAATCCAATTTTTGACTTGAATCATTGAATTGAAAAATTACAAATTATAGTTGCATTTTTACAACACTAGATGTCGCTAGAGGTATCGTTAAAAAAATATTTTTCCCATGAAAAATTTTTCAAATTAAACTTTTTTTTTACCTTTTTAATCTGTTTTTTTTTCTTCTCATCTTGACAGCACAGGTGTACTAAAATTCAACATTCGAGTATTTTTTCATTTCGCCAATAATTATTACCTCTTTTTTTGATATATTAAATAAATAATGAGCTGTTTCCAATTTCCCATATGAAAAACATACGATGATTCAGTCGCCTATATAATACGTTAATGTAAAAAAACAAAATTATCATAAAATTAATTAATCAGGAAAATCATTAAAACCTGTGTGTAATCTAACTCCTTTTGTCGCACTCTTTTTTTCCTGCTATCAGACGCCCACGCACGCATATTCGTTATATATTAGGAAAAACCAACGAAAAACGTGTGGTTGTCAAACCAACCGGCAATGAAATGGAAATTTTTTTTTTTTGTCAAATTAAACCAGTGCTATATGCACACACATGACAAACTACTGCAAAGTTTACATTTTTTATATATCAGTGATAGCAACAACAAACTAAAAAAAAAGATTTCCTTTTTTTCTTTCTACCGATTTGAATTCAAATGGAAAATGAAAATCCAACTGGACAAAACGGATATGATTTGAAATGTATGTCATCCCTTAAATGATTGCAAATGACAATCAAAAAATTCAACCAAAATTTTTCCTGTCAAGATTTGATTTTGTCAAAAAAAAAGTTTTTGTTGATTGTTGTTTGGTTGGTTACCATCGTATTTATCATTATTTTATCATAGACATTGTTTTGCTTGTTGGTTGGTTTCCTATCCTCTAACTTGTTGTTGTTGTTGATCATCCTCATCATCATCAAGGCAATGATCATCATCATATGATGATGATCATAAAAAGTTACCGGATTGACAACGGAACAAACATTGATCGATTTCATCTATTTTTCTTCTTTTTTTTCTTGAATTGAAAATCAAACCATGATTAATCAATCAAATGTGATCATCAAAGGTGAATTTTTTTTTCATTAGTTTCTCTATTTAATCTTAAAAATGAAGAAAAACTAAACTAAACTAAAAAAGAATGTTATGATTTCCAAAATCTAAATTCACAGTTTAAATTGATATTCCAAAAACATCGAGGACAAAACCAACGTCAACAAACGAAAATAACAAACGAAAAAAAAACGCCCAGAACAAAATCAAAATCAAAATCAAAGACATAGAGAAAACTAGAACAAACCGAACCAATTTCATTTCATTCATCATCATTATGATATGATTATGTCTAAAATATATATGTGAGATGGCCACCAGCTGATAATATTTGTTTTTGATTTCTTATTATTTCAACCAATTTTGGAACCTGTTTTTTTTTGCCAAACAACCAACCACTATTCTTCTTCATCTGTTTTTTTTCTTCATATGATTGATATTGTGAATCTCATATGTTTAGTGTAATGTAGTGGTTTTGATGATGACCATCACACCGCTACTATTATCATCATTCAAACAAACAAACAACAGGAATCACTGAAGAACAAGGTATTATGATCGAGGTGGTGGTGGTGGTACCACAGGTAAATCCTATTACCTTTATGAAATTTTTTACTCAATAAGTTTTTTTTTCGTTTTCTAGGTTTTTCATTTAACTTTAGATTTTCGTTTTGTTTGTTTGATCTATAGTGAGCTGTATTTTGTTTTGTTTTTTCATTTACAAAAAAAAAACGGTGTTCGACAAAATACAACAACAAAATGAAGAAAGATTTAGCGATTTGAACAAATAACGAAAGAGCCAGGAGTTTATCGTCGTTGTTCTTTTTTTCGTTGTTGGCCAAAATCAAAATCCACAAAAAACAAAACGAGAGAAAAAAAATTTGAAACAAACAAACAAACAACAAATGAAAAAAAGAGAACAACAAAACTTGTTCATTCAACAATTTTTTTCATTCGAGAATTTATCTTAACTTTTCTGATGATAATAAGAAGAAATTCAGCATCTTTTTCTCTCTCCTTTCTTCTCTCTTTTCTTTTTTAAGAAAAAAACGGTTAACATCATCAACCTAACATCAACAACAACAAAACTAACTAAACACAATCGGTGTATATTTTAAACAAAACAAAAACAAAACAGGTAATCAAAATTCGTTTCGTTTGTGTTCATTCCATTCCATTCGATTCACTTCAAATTTCCAATTGAAAAATGTTAATATTGCCATCATCATCATGATCATCACGATGAACAAAAATAAGATGCATAAATAAACAAAAAAAAAAGAAGCAAATGAAGAGAATAGAAAATTTTCATTCATTCATTTTTTGCTGGTGATCATCATCATTACCATAAGCATCATTTCTATCAATTCTGCTGACTATTTTCATCATCATCATCATTGTTTCGTCGTTTCAAATTTCCCAAAAAAAAATCCTGTGTGTTTGGTCAATTTCTTTCTGTTTTTGCATCGATTTTTGTGTGTGTGTGTGGGTGGATGTTGTTTTTCGTTTTGCTTTGTTTGTGCCAAATCACCAGAAATTAAAAATCTTGTGTTGTAAAAAATCTTTGCTCATTGAATTTGTATGATAAAATCAATCATCATCATCGATATTGATTGGAAATTGATGAAATCAGATTTTTTTTTGTTGGATTTTTGTTGATGTTAATAGTGATGTGACATGTAGACTTTGGATTCGACCAGAAACAAAAAACTCAACAACAACAGCAGCATCGCAACAGAATTTCATTTTTCTAAAAATGTCAACTTTTTTTTTCATATCCAGAATAGATCATGTGTGTGTGCCAATGTGAATCTTATTAACTTTTTTGTTTTCGTTAACGGTTTTTTTCGTTTGAATTAAATTTCTTTTTCTTTTTCACATTCTTTCAACAACCAGTGATTCTTCTTTCTTCGAAAGTTTTAACAAGAATTTGTTCATCCATCAATTTTAATCAGGAAAAACAAATTAAACTTTCAAGGTTTGCATATTTTTTCAATGACAAAATTATAATAATGATATTTCTTCTGGGGTTTTTCTTTTTTCCTTTGTTTTCACATGTCTTAACTTATTATTATTATTATTTTGTGATGCATGCATAGATAATGCATCTTTTGTTAAGATAATTGTCTTTTTTGAACCAGGTGTGTGTGTCTGATGTGTGTGAAATAAAGATGTGCACAAAATGGAAACAAAATTGGGCAATCTTTTTTTGTTTGTTTGTTCTATGACATTCAGGTGTGAAATTGATTAAATGTGACTGGGATGAATGTGGAAGACGAAAACAACAACAGCAACAAAACACTGAAAAAAAGAAAATGCCAAATTCAAAAACCAACCCAAATCGAAATGTCACCGAATTCTGGAAAGGAAAATTCTGATAATGAATATGGTTTTTTTGGGAGAATCGAGGAAGCGAATAGAATTCATTGGAAACACATTGAATTTCCTGACTTGTTTTTCGTTTGGTTTGGTTTGCCACCGATATCATTATCGATTAACTGTAAAGTTGTCACTGTTGTGTAACCATCGAAACCATTGTAAAAAAAATGTATTTTCATCGTGATTGTTGTTGTTATCGATGATTTTTCATATCTCAAAGCCAAAAAAAAAATTACCAAGGAAACTATAGAGAGGTAATCAAACTCAAAGAAAATAAAACTTTTTTTTCGGTCCCAAATGATAATTTAGAAAGCAAAAAATGAAAAATGAAAAAATGAAATTATCAATTAGTTCGGGAAAATTATATCATTGCAATCGAGCAATATCCAGGAAAGAAAATTTCTCAAAATATATTTCGAATGGTTATGCATGAAATGATGAAATAAATTTTCCGGAAATTTTTTTTCGGTTATTAAAAACTAATTTTCCACACTTGATCATTCGTTTTAGCATCACTTTCTCTTGTTGTTGCTGTCGCTGTTTCCTAATGTTGTAAATTAATGCATTTTTTTTTTTTGCTTTTGATCTTCATCTTTGGATTTTTGATGATCAAAAATGATATCCAAATGAAGAACGAAAAAACCCATTAATAACTTGTTCTTGTGTGAAAACTTGACACAAGTTGATGATGTGACAATCTTCCTCTCTATTTCAAAAAGAAATTTTCATGTAAATTTCTTTTTTGTTCTTCCTGGAATTGTTCTGGAAAAATTATTGTTTTTTCACCTTATTGACACACACACAATGACAATCCACATCCATAAACAAAAACCACCACAACAACAGCATTATTAATTCAATAACGACATTATTCTCTGAATTGAACACAATGAAAAATGTGATTTGGATGTGATAATTTTTTTCTGTTTTGGTGAGAAAAAGAACATGAATATTGTATTGAATTGAATGGAAATGGAATGAAGGACAACATCGTTATTATTTTTCGTTGTTGTTGTTGTGCTTTTGTTTGGCCGTTTCACCTGTTTCACCTGTTCGTCAAGACGATAATGATGATGATGATGATGATGATTTAAACATCTTGATATCTCTTTCTTTCTTTTTTGAATCTAATCATCATCATTATAATCATGATGATTATAAATTGGTTTATGTGTTAGTTAGTATGATTGTTGTAGTTTAGTTAGTTTGAAGACAATATGATCATCATTATAATGTAATTCATTGTCACGAATTTTTTGATTTTCTCGATTTTCTCTCTGTTTGTTTGTTTGATTTGATTTGATTTTGTCATCATCATCATCGTGTGATGATTATGATGAAAACTTTCCATCATCAAGTTTATTTTTGCTTTCTGGTTTTGGAATTTAATTTTGATTTTTGAAAAAAAATTAATTAAATAAAATTCCCCATATAACATGTTATTAATGAAATTGATTAAGCACAAGCAACAAGTTGTTGGAATTTTTTGTTTGTTTGTTTTTCTCGGTTTAAAATAATTCAAATTCTTTCTTTTTTTTTTGTTGTTTTTTCTTTTCTCCTCAAAAGGTTTATGCACACAAAGTTTCCACTGGAAAATAAATAACCCTTCATTAGCATAAAGAAAATTATCAAAAAATGGCACGAATACGTACATTAACAACTGTATTATTTTTAATAATAATACCTAGTTTATTTATTTATTTTTTATATTATGATTCAATATCATCAACAACAATTAATAATCAATATCAACCATCATCATCATCATCAAATAGTCAATCAGAATTTATTGATAGTTCATCACTACCTCAACAACAACAACAACAACCACCGAATACTGATAATGATAATCAACTACAGCATAAATATGCAGCCGTTTGGAAACATATAACCAATGTTTATAATCATCCATTACCACCATCATTATCATCGATTCAAAATGATACAGCCAGTACATTATCATCATTACGATCATCGATTCTCGGTAATCATCGTAATCGTAATAGTGAATTTACCTATGTTCAAATTCAACCACCATTGCTGCCAACATCAGAAGAATCAATGGATTCTGATCCAAAAATAGAACAACGTAGACAATTTATTAAAAAAATGATGAAAGAATCATGGGATAATTATGTAAAATATGCATGGGGTTTTAATGAATTACAACCACAAACTAGAAATGGTAAATTAGATTCTATATTTGGTCCAACTAAACTGGGTGCAACAATTGTTGATTCAATGGATACATTATTCCTGATGGATATGAAACAAGAATTTGAACATGGTAGACAATGGATTGCACAGGAATTAGATTTTAAATCAACACAATCAGAAATTTCTGTATTTGAAACAATTATTCGTTATGTTGGTGGTTTACTTTCATGTTTTGCATTAACTGGTGATCCAATGTTTTTATATAAATCCAGAGAGATTGCTCAAATATTATTACCTGCTTATAATACCGCTACAGGTATGTGTTTTGTTTTCTGATTATTTATATTTTCTAATTAACCTGATCTAATTGAATCATGTTATTCATTCAAAACGCAAAAACACAGGTATACCAAATGGTTTAATAATACCGAAAACCGGTAAATCATATCATCATACATGGGCAAATGGTGCTATTTTATCCGAATTCGGTTCACATCATTTAGAATTAACATATTTAAGTGATATGACTGGTGATAAACGTTTTAGTGATCGTATAAAACGTATTCGTTCCGTAGTAAAAAACGCAGATAAACCAAACGGTTTGTATTTGCTGATGTTGGATGAACAAACTGGTCGTTGGACTGATAATAAAGCATCGCTAGGTGCACTTGGTGATAGTTTTTATGAATATCTTATTAAATCATATGTACAATCTGGTCATCATGATAAACAATCATTACAAATGTATTTGGATGCTATGGATGCTATTGATCGTTCGGGAATGATTAATCAATCAATTTCTGGTCAACTGACATATGTATCGGATTTAGTTTTTGGCAAAACAACAAATAAAATGCAACATTTAACTTGTTTTGCTGGTGGAATGTATGGATTAGGTGTTCATCATATGTTATTATCAACAAATGATTCAATTCGACAATCAAAAATCGATAATTTACCTGCAAATAATGTTGTTATTAGTGATAATAATAATCAGGAGCAAAAAATTCTAGTTAATCTAACCGCAACAACTACCGCTGCCAATACTGCCATCAATGATTTTGATCGTCGAATTCGGCGGCATTTTGATCTGGCCGTCAATTTAACGGAAACCTGTTATCAATCATATCATCGTACACCAACACATTTAGGTCCAGAATCATTTTATTTTAATGAACAAGTTGAAGCTATTAATCCAAATGGTGATTATTATATTCTTAGGTAACGTGATTTGAAAGATTTCTTTTAATTTTCCCAATTAATTAATTAATTATAAATTTGAAATTCATTTACACATTTTAGACCAGAAGTTATTGAAAGTTATTTTATAATGTGGCGTTTAACACATGATAATCGTTATCGGGAATATGCTTGGGAAGCAGCACAAGCTATATATGAAAATTGTCGTACAGAATCCGGTTATACAGGAATTTATAATGTAATGCGTAAACCAGCCATAAAAGATAATACTCAACAAAGTTTTTTTCTTGCTGAAACATTAAAATATTTATATCTAATATTTTCGAATGATAAATTATTATCATTAGATGATTGGGTTTTTAATACTGAAGCACATCCATTACCAATTTGTGGCCAAAATTCTGCATATCCTCAATCAACATGTATCAATCGAAATCAAAATCATAATAATAATCGAGTTAGATCGAAAAAGCAAGCCAGAATCTAAGAATTTCATTCGAAAAATATATATTGTGAAAAAATTGTGATAATTTTTTAATTTCCCACACATTAATAATTAATAATTAATAACGAGAATTATAATAATTTAATGAATAATAATAATAATGATTTGTAATATAATTTATTTTTAAAAAATTGTAATAGAATCTTTTAATTGTAAAAGTTCTAGAAATAATAAAAAAATTCTAAAAATTTAATTACAAAAATGAGTTTTTCTTCGAGTTTTTTTTCTTGTTTTGGCTTTTTGTTTTCGTTCAATCGCACGAAGGATTAACATCGTTATCAGCAATTTATTTTTTGTTTGACCAAAATCAAAATTGAATGACAAAAGAGAAAAATGGGAAAAAAACATGAACAACCGGAATCCGAGCAAACAACCAATAAAACTAAAGATAAAAATGAAACTCTAACTATAAATGAAAATGAAAAAACAAAATCACCAACAATAACACAAACACCATCATTATCATCCGATGAATCTGAATCCGACTTTGATGATGATACAAATGATGAAAATTTTCCAAAATTAGTACGAAAACATGATTCAACAATAATTATTATACGACAATTAGCAACATCATCCGTATTGGTTATAACACCGGTTGCATTAACATTATTATTAGTTATAATATCTGTTCATATACAATGTATATTAAATTATTGTCCACATATACCGATTGATGAATTATTACCAATATTTTCGAAAACTGATTCACATGATTTTAATGCTAATGCAACGAATGCATTAAAAAATACCGGTGTTTTATTGAGTTATATAATTGTTGCAACATTTTTTCTATTAGCATTAATATATTTTCGTTTATATAAAATATTGATTGGATTTGGAATATTTTTGATTATTATGTTATGTACAATGAAATCATTAATATTTTGGCATAATTTATTATTCTTTCTCGATATTTCTATTGATGTTTGTACTATTGGATTTTTAATATGGAATCTTGTTGTTACCGGTAGGTGTTTGGTTTTGTTTCCTTTTGTAGTTTTTGTTTTAATTAAAATTTGTTTTTTTTTTGTAAAATTTTCAGGTTTAATAATATTTTTTATATTAAAAAGTCCATTATTAATAAAGCAAATATATCTAATTTATATTAGTTTATTAGTTAGTAATTTTATAATAACATTATTATCACCATCAACAGCATGGATACTATTGATATTTTTGATAGTATGGGATTTGATTGCTGTTCTAACACCTTGTGGTCCATTAAATTTAATGATAAAATTAATACGTGAACGACAATTGATGAATGAAAAAGTATATGTACCACCTGTATTAATTTATTCAACAATGTTATATGATTATATGTCAATATTTAATGCTGAACAAAGTATACAGAAAATATCCATACAAACACCACCAAGACGACGAAAAAAACAAATGAAACGTTATCAAACTAAACATCGTCCTAATTTAGGTTTGGGTGATTTTATTTTCTACAGTCTACTAATGGGACAAGTTCGTCAAGCATATTCATTAATAACAGTATGCCTAGCTGGTTTATCAATTCTAGCCGGTCTGATTGGAACATTAGGTATATTAGCATGGTCTCGTCGACCATTACCAGCATTACCAATATCATTATCGATTGCAATTTTGGTTGTTTTAATTTCCGGTTATGTTATCGAACCATTTGCACAATATTTAAATTCAAATTTAATTTACATTTAAAAAAATGATGATGTTGATTGATGTTGATTTTAGATAATTAATAAAAAACACAGAAGAAAAAAAACTTTTAATTAATTAATTGAAATGAAACTTTGCTTTGAAGCGAATGTGTAAAACACACACTGGACAGATAGAGAGACAGGACAGATATGGATAGTGAGAGAGTCCATATATTTACACAATCAATTCAATCAATCACATGAAAATATAGTATCCTTTCGTTTTTTTTGTACGCTTACACACACACACATTTTGGCATCCTTGAAATCAAAAAGATATAATTTTTTTTTCTTCGAAAAAAAAATTATTCAGCCGTAGTTGTCCTTGACACGGATCCCAAAAAAAAGCAAGCAAGCGAAAACAGCTCTATTTTTACAAATTTTTATCATCATCATCGCTGATGTCGTTGATTTATTCTTCTTAAATTATGATGATAAAAATAACAGAAAATCCAAAAAAAAAATCAAAATTCATTTTAAATGTGATCAGGTTAATTTGTTCCAGGTGTATTTTGTTTGTTTGTTTGTTTAAATGTCTGATGTTCATCAGCATTATGTGAAGTTTAGGTGTGAATCACTGTTGCATCACTGAAAAAAATATTGATGATATTTGCTGAAGTATTTCTTGTTAAAATACCAAAAAAACACATATCATTGTCATTATCATCAACATCATCATCGTCGACATTTTTTTTTAACAGTGAAAAATATTTTTTGTTCTGATTGCAATGAATTGACAGAAAATATTTTTTTGTTTTGTTGATTTCAAAACCGGAAAAAAACAAACCAGAAACAAAAAATAACCAGGAAATTTCAATTTTTTTCAGAAAAAATTCTTCACAAAAAAAAACGCAACCGTTCACAAAGAATGTAACCCAATTTTTTTTTTTCAAAGTAAAGAACTTTGGTATTTGCTACTACCACCAACCCTGTCACCATCACCACAGCCAATCATCATCCGTTTTTTCTTTCCACCGTTCATTCATTCATTACCAAACGACCACTACCCATTTCCCAGAAAAAAAAATACATGCATGATGAAAACGTTTGCCAGTTTTTTCCGTTGCCATTTCGATCGAATCTTAAAATTTTTTTTTTTGTCATTTGTTTTGCAATAATTTTTTTTTTAATTTTGTTGTTTACGCGAACAAATTAAAATTGTTTGTTTTTTTTTGCTGCAGATTTTTATTTATTTATTTATTTATCATTTTCATCAGGTTCTTTAAAACAAAACATAATGATCAAACGAGAAAATCATTAATTTGATTAAGAGAAAAGAGGTAAGTTAAGGATGGAATATTTTTCCCAAACAATAAAGAATTTCTCATCAAAAAAACGAAGAAGAATGTTTTTTCAATGGAAAAACACTTGTACTTTCAATGTTAATGTCTTTGTTGTTTTGATTGCAATAAACGTTATTTGTTTCCATAATTATAATCTTTTTTTGTTTGTTTCTATCCATTTTCCCCCTTTTTCTATGTCTTCATCGTTTATTGATTGATTGGCTGCTTTTTGCTTTTATCACCCAACCAACCAACCAACAAAACTAAAATCAAACGACAACAGATTATTTTTTTTCAAAAAAAAAAAACATCATCAATTCAACGATAATAAAGATATAGTCGTCAGTGAGTAAAATATCACCATTGACAACACAATCAATATTTATCGATTAGCATATACAAATTATTATTATCATCATCATTTTTCATTTGGAAAATGATGTAATTTATTTGCTCACAACACCATCATCATTATCATTCGATAAAATTAAATTCCTACTTCTCTTTCATATAAAATGATAATGATGATTCGTTCGTCTATATGTTGTGTTTATATTTTGAATGGTAAACAATTTTTTTGTCGAAATTGAATGAAGAAATAATCGAATTTTGTTTGATTGGTTGGTTGGTTGTTTGTTGTTGATTCAACACATTAATAAGATTAATTGGGTTTGTTTGTTTGTTTGTTTATCGAAAAAAAAAGTGAATAAATATCGTAGATGAAAAAACCAAAAACAAAATGTCACCAGCATCATCGGAAAAATTATCAACATTTGCACGAATTAAAATGCCCAACATAATACTTTGTACATATAAGGCAATTCGTATGACTTGTTGTATGATACATAATGTTTATTGTATACCTGGATATCTATTACTAAATACATTATTATTACCATTATATTATTTATCGATTGATACTTATTCGCATATTGAAAATCTTCTTTATGATGCACTACTTTATATTGTTGGATGGTGGAGTTATGGTGGTGGTCTAATAGTTCATGAACATGGTGATGATATACATCAATTATTGATAGGTATTCTTTTGTTTGTTTGTTTGCCTCAAAATAATTAATGTATTTTTTTGTTTTCTCAAACAAAACACAGACAATCCAAATGCTCGTGTACTATTGGTTGCAAATCATCAATCAACGGCCGATGTACCATTAATGTTTCAATCATTTTCATCACATTCAGCATACTCATTATTATGGATTATGGATAGAGCTTTTAAATGGACTAATTTTGGTTTAGTATCACAGATTCATGGTGATTATTTTCTTTGTCCAAAAAAATATATTGCCAATAGTATTGCTAATCATTGTCGACAGCGATATAGTTTATTAAAAAATATGATTATTATATTTCCTGAAGGTTTGATATTTTGATATTTTTGTTTTTTTTATAAATATTAATTTGATTTTTATTTGACATTTTCCACACATAAAGGCGGTTTTCGTTATAAACGTTTACAATCATCAATATCGTTTGCAACCAAACGAAATTATCCACTATTATATAATGTAACATATCCACGTGTACATGGATTTCGTGAATTATTAACAGATGATCTAAACATAACACATATTGTTGATTTAACAATTTGTTATGATGATCCGGATAATGTACCATCAATATTTAATATTATACGTGGTGGAAATGATTCTGGTATTCATTTTCATTATAAAATTCATCAATTAAATACAACACAAGAGAATTTTAATTCAGAAGAATGGCTTTATGAACAATGGCAAAAAAAAGAAGCATTATTAAATAATCATTATGCAACTATTCGTCGTAAACAACAACAACAACAATGTCAACAACATCCAAATCCTGAATTATCAATCGATTCAAGTAAATCAAGTCCATCCGGTGATGATCATATAAGTTGTCGTTCATTATCACCACCTGCTAAAAATATCGAACAACAATCATTATTACGTAAACGTAATGATGTTTCACCATCCAAACAACAACAACAAAATCAACAACAACAATTAAATCATGTTGGAATCAATAGTAATGGTAATGGCAGTACCAATCATTTAAATCAAGATAATATTGATTTGACAATAAATAATTTGCATAATAATAACAATAACAATAACATCAACAACAATAATTATCAACAACATCCGAATAATATTGATGCTTATAATCTGAGAAGTTTATCACCGGAAACACAAGATAATACAATTGCAACAATAACAACACCATTAACAGAAAATGGTTTAAAATTTCGTTCACATCATGAATTTCAATCATATCGTTTTGATTTAAATCAAGGTCGTCCGATAAAATTAAGTTTTATTCGTACATTATTCTATCATTTTGGATATCTATCTATTTGTTTATTAACATATTATGTCATTGCTCTAATTATTGTGCCAACGCTTTGAAAAAAACAAAACAAGAAAATCCAATTAATAATTCTCACTTAAAATCAATTAAGAAAAACAAAAATACAATATAATTCAATAGCTTTTTTTTTCGTTAGCAGGAGAACACCTAGTCAATTAATCATTGATTATTGATCAATCAATTAATTAATTTCATTAATTTTGGGAACAAATTTTGTTGAACAAAAAATAATTTTTTCAAGAAAACAAAAAATACATTATTTGACTTTTTTTTAACAAACAAACAAAATAAACACTGCACAGAAATTTTCTTTTCAATTCAATTCACATTAATTTAATTAAACTTGTGATCAAAATAACAAACAAACAAACAACAATGCAAATCCACTTAAATTAAATTTGTAAATTTTTTTTTAATTAAATTTTTTTTTGTGTGTGCTTGTTACAGGTGTGTAAAGGGTTATCTAAAAAGGTCGTTATCACATTGATTTGTTTTAGGATTTTTGCTTAAATTCATCAAACAAATCATCCATTTTTAATGAAAATGATACACCACACGAACAACTTTTATCGGCCAAAGGATTATCTATGACACAGAAACCACTACGAATAAGTTCATCTTCATAATCAATTTTTGAACCAAGTAAATATTCTAATGATTCACGATCAATAACAACATGATCGGCATATAAAATATCTTCATTTGGATTGTAATTTTGTTTATTATCAATGGAAAATTCATATTCAAAACCAGAACAGCCACCACCACGAACACCAACACGAAGTAATTCATCTGCATCAAGTACTTTATCGATACGTTTTAAACATCGTTCCGTTATTATTATGTCGTTATTATTTGCCGTTGTTTTATCATTTGATTCTGTTGTATGCTGTTGTTGACTAGTTTGTTGTTGTTGTTGATCAGATACAGATGATGAACATAGAAATCTTTTCGAATGATTGGATGCGAATAATGGATGTGGATATTTTGTATTTACATTTCGTAACAATAATATTCTACGACAATATAATGATGATGATAAATGATTGATGAATAATGATACGGCTCGTCGAATTGACATTTAGAAATTTTCGTTTTTGAAATTGATTTTATCAAAATTGGATTGATGATAATAACATTGCGTTTTTGTTTTTTAAATCAAAACATCTGATATTCGTGATACGTGATATAATCAAATCAAACGACGATAGATGCCGCTGCTATTCGTATTATTTTTGAAAATTTTTTCTCGAAAAAAAAAATATTTGATTTCGCAAGCGCGGGAAAAAAACAAATTACAAATTACAAAACATCAATCGATTTTAAATTGAATTTTCTGACTTTTAATTCATCATCATTTATTAACTCAATTTTTACAATTCAATCATCATCACCATTGATAAGATGATAACAAAATGAATGTAAAAGAGTTTTTTGGATTAAGTTTTTTTTTATAAAATGGCAGGATTTTTTTTCGGAAAAAAATTACATGACTTGTTTTTTATATTTATAATATAAAAAAATATATTCATTCAGCGATTTGGTTTAATAATATTTTTTATAATAACCACCACCATAATAAGCTGGTGCGTAACCGCCATAGCCATATCCGTAACCACCATAGCCGCCTAAGCCATAATAACCGCCATATGCTGGAGCGTAGCTGTATTTTTTGGTTTAAAAAAATAATGAAAATTCGTTAGATAAATTCTTGAAAATCAGGTTAATTGATTTACCTTGCATAGCTAATAGCTGGTGCAACAGCAGCATATGATTTATAATATGGTGCTGAATAAGCATAACTTGAATATGCTGGAACACCATATGTACGATATGCAGGTGCAACTGCTTTATAATAAGCTGGACCAGCACCTAAACCATAACCATAACCGATACCACCAAACAAACCATAACTACCATAATATGGTACAGCCGAAGCAACAGCGGCTAAGGCTAAAATAGCGGCAACAATAAATGTTTTCATTTTTTGTTGATTGATTGGGCAGTATTTGTTGTTGAACAAATTTGCTTTTTTTTTAAAAAAATCAGTTTTTGTTTAATTAAAATGATTTCGACAATGATCAAATGGTCAGCTTTTTATATCTTTTTTTTTTGGTTTGGTTTTCAAATTCAAATATCGTCTTCTTCACCTTCAATCATCATCATCTTCATTCCGTCAGTCATCCAAACCAGCCAATCAAATGATGAAGATTCTATTCCTGACGGAACATCTACCTGTCCAGCGACCAGCATCCACCTGTCCAACATAAAACGCATCATCAATTTTTTTCCATCATCGTCGTCATCATCATCAAATGCCTACTACCTTCGTTTTATTTCATTTCTTAACGTTTATTATTAGTTTTATCATCATCATCAATGATTGCTTTTGGATGAATGAATGAATGAATGTAATCAACTCATCAATTGAACAACAGCAACTGACAACAACAAGTAGCCAAATTATCAATGTCATCATCATAACCAATCATCATTTTTTTTCGCTACTAAACCTAAATGGTTGAAAAGATTAAAAAAAATAGGAAGACTGTAGAAAATTTCTTATTTGAAATGTCCACACACACAAACACCAATGTGAAATTGATAATAATCAACAAAAATGATAATGAATTATGGACAACCGATTTCTTTCTGTCAATAGGAATCTATGATACGTGTTGTTGTTGTTGATTTTTCTGGAAACATTTTCTCTATTTAGAATTGCAAATTAACATAACCAACACGATGATGGTCATCATCGATGATGGTGTCAATTTTTCGTTTTCTCTCCGTTTGATTATGATAATGATGGTCATTCCAAAAATGAAAAAATCATTTATTCATTTATATTTGCGTGTTCAAATACCATTATTCATTTTCAAAATTTGAACAAAATTTGACTAGGGAAAAATAGTTTTTCTTTATGAAAAAGCGTATAGGATAATATTCCAAGGAAACCTGTATTTGAAAAAACAAAATTCTTTCATTTCATTTTTTTTTGTTGTTGGATCGATCCATGAACAAAATCGATGGAAAGAAATAGAAAAAAAAGATTCGTGTAGATTTTTCGAGAAGGAAAAACTACCTACCCACCCAAAAAAACAAATTATAATGTTTAATTGGAGAAAAAGAAAAAAGATTTCCTACGATATTAGATAACTACCTATTTTCTCATTTTCTTTTTCTTTCTTTTGTTTGCTAAAAGCCTAATAATCATTAATTATCATTATTGTTTTTGTTATTGTTTCATTGCACATACGTGCATAATACGTGTTTTTTTTTGTTCCAAAATGGAAATATCCATTATTATTATTATCCATTGAACAATCATTACATTGTTCATTCATTGACTAATTCAAATGATTAAAGAGAGAAAAAGAAAAATTGACCTTCAATCAATCATACAATCTATATTTATTCATTTTTTAGAGAAAATTTCCATGTTTTTCCATGTTTGATTCATTCTTTCATTCAATTTGTTTGATAGGTTTTTTCTTTCCTTCATATATGAAAAATCCATATCTATTTGATTAAACACTGGTTAGAGTTTTACAAAATGACCTCTAATTTTCTTTTCACTTGTTTTTGAATTCAAATCGAAAAAAAGACACGTATTAAAGATTTTTCGGAAGCAACAACAACATCGTGGTTTTAAAAAAATTCCTGGAACAACATTGTTTGAACAGAAAAAACAAAATTATCCCGTAGGCAATCCAATATCATCATCATCATCATCGCCATCGTCAAATTGTAGACTTGAATATATTAATTTCTCTCTCTCTCTCTCTCTCTCTCTCTCACATTTTTGTTTTCTCCAATTATCCAATAAAATTGAAAAAGTAATAATTTTGGAAAATTATATAGAAACATCAAGGTTGTTCAGTTTGTTTTTCTCTATATCAATTCAGTTTTTGAAAATTTGACAAAAATTTCTAATTTTGTCAATTTCAAAAACCCACTGCCACTGAATATTCTATGATGGAGTGATGAAAAAACATGAATGCCCAATCAATCGATCGATCGATTGATTGATTTCAATGATAATCATGATTGCCATTTTATTTGATGATATCCAAAATAAATTATCCAGAAAAGGTTAGATATCCAAAGATTCCAAAAATTCCAACATTATCACATGATGATAAAGTGAAATTTTTCTCTCTCTCTCTCTTTTGTTTCGTTCCTGGATTGATTTTTTGGCGAAAAAAGCAATAATCAATCAAAATCACGTGTATTGGCATGTTGGAAATTGATTTTTTTTTTAAAATTTATTTATCGATTTCAAGTTCCAAAATAAAAAAAGAAACAAAAAATTACCATTCAATTAGATAATGAATACGATGATGATCATTTGTTGTTGTTGTTGATGATGATTTTTCATTATAAATTGGTAATTTGGTTGGCACATATAATGATTTTTCATTTTTATTATAAGAAAAACCTTTGATTATTGATTCATTTCCATTTACACGAATAGAAATAGGTTCTTCCAGTACCTCAAAAATTATAATAGGATCAATATTTTGTAATGTTTTATGTCCTAACCATTCGGATTGAATCAATAATGTATTCTGTAGAAAAAATTTTCAAAAAAACCAATCAATTTAGTTAAAGATAGCATAACATTTTTGTTAGAAAAAAAAACTTACATTTTTAGCTTCAAAATTATAGAAATTATATTGACCATTTTTCACTGGATCCAGACTATCACCTGAATCTAAATAAAGAGATCCTTTTGCATATGCAGAAGAATTTTGTCGATCCAATATAACAAATAAGCCAAAATCTATCGAATTCATCAATTTAGTATTTTTTTCTAAATGTTGCAGCGGTATTATGGAACCACCACGAAAAAAAACATAATTAACAAGATCTAATCTATCCTGTATTGTAAAATATTGTCCTTGACTTTTGATTATCAACTGATCCGTTTTCAACCATGTACCTTTTGGTAGATAAACTTTATGCTATAATTATAGTTAAATAAAATGATAAACATTATTTCAAATAAGAATCATTTAAGAAAAACAAACCTCTGTTTGATTTGGATATAGAATCGGTGCAATCAAAATTGAATCACCCCACATAAATTGTGTTTCAATTTCATATGAATGTTTATCATCGGGAAATTCAAAAAACATTGGTCGTAATACTGTACCACCATTTTGGTGGACATTATAAAACAATGTATATAAATAGAGCAACAATACATATCGAACAGATAATGAACTAACTGCAGCTTTTAATACTGTTCCACCTAATGCAGCTGGATCTTGATCACTTGAATAAATATCATTATGATTACGTGCAAATGTATAGAATGCACCCAGTTGATGCCAACGTGTACAAAGTTCAACAGTAGTTGATAGATTAAATCCACAAATATCTGCACCAACCATCGGTATACCGAATAGATTAAAATTCAATATGGATGATATTGACCAACGCATTGATGACCAGTCGGATACAATATCACCATCCCAATGACTAGCCCAATGACCATGTCCTGGTGCTGTTGCCCGAGATAAAATGAATGGACGTTTTTTTAGATTGGTCAATGCACTATTGGTGGGAGAAATTTGAATTTTTAAAATATCCAAAACAAAACACATTGAAAAACTTACGCATTTGTAGCTATTGCTTCAGATAATGAATATAAATTATGTAGATTATAATGTAATTGTTCGTGATAATGTTTTGCTGTCATACACAAAGTCATATATCTTAATGTAAGATTTTCATTTACCATTCCAGGTACATATTGTGGATTTTCATAACGAGATCCTTCTGGACAACCATTTTCTTGACCACTCCAAAAACTTGTTGGTTCATTCATATCAATCCAAGCACCATCAAATTTAATTGTTTTATAATATTCAGCAAACATATCCGACCAATATTTTATTGCATTTGGATGACTAAAATCCGGCCATACTGTTGTATTTTTATTCCATACTTTTCCCAAAAATAATTGATCGGTTGAATTTTTAATAAATAAATCCATTTCAATACCATAATCATATGGACGATATGATTTTTTCGGTTCACCAGCTGAAATACCACAATCAAACATTGGTATAAATTTCATTCCATTTGCATGTAATACATTATCAATAAAATCAGGTAATTCTTTAAATTGTTTATGATCATATGTAAAATCATTGAATGAATCAAACATATCAATATCAGTCCATTGAACATCTAATGGTACACCTGCCTGAATATTACGTGTAAATGTTTCATTCAAATTGGTAAAATTATTATAACCATATCGTGATAGATGAAAACCTAATGACCAAAATGGTGGCATTGCAGGTAAACCAATCAAGTGGTGATATTGTTGAACAACTTGTTCTGGTTTTGGGCCAAAAAATACAAAAAAATCCAATATTCCACCAATCGTTCGGAAAGTTATTGCAGGTGATGGTTGTGTTATAATATCCATAGCATTACTATTGAA